CAAATACACTTGGCGGCACGTACAAAATGCTTCAGGATGCAGAGTCTGCGAGGATGCGCCTAACATGCATCTTTTCATGTGGGTAACGAGGGTATATGGGGCGAATTGGGATGAGATGGAATGTGGAGAAGGGGCAGGTGATAACACCCCCAAACCCATCTTTCCTTCCAAGGATAGTACACTTTCGCCCAGGGACTCTATCCACGATATAATCCAAAAGACATTCCAAGAGATAATACCCGAGAGATCGTGGGGTTTTTAATGAATAACAATCCCACACTACCCCCCGGCACTCATTAACTAACCGGGATGTCTTTAGATCTTTTAGAAGATTTCCTTCGCGTTAAAAAGAAAAAACGAAGGGATAAAAAGGAAAAAAAAGAAAAGGAAAACGCCTGAAATCATTTTCTTTTTTCTTTTTTTTTTCTTTTTTCTTTTCTTTCCTTTTTTTTTCTTTTTTTTTTTTTTTTTTTCTTAACCTTAATCTATTTTTCTTCGAAATCTTCTAGAAAGACATATATAATTATATATGTTTCCATTTATAATATTTGGTTAATATTTTTTATTAATCAATGATCTTTTTTTAAAAATTTGTATAACAAATATAATTCGTCTATATAGGAATATTTTGGTCGATATAAATAATTAATTGTCATGGTTGCGCGTTGGAAGGATGTCATCACTTATATGACGCCATATTAATATTTTTTTTTTATTATTAGTAATACTGATCATTTATTTAATGTACAATTATAAGATCAAACGTTTAAATGATACTGACGCGATAAGTAACAATCAATTTTTTCTACGATCGAACTGTTTTATTTGATATAAACATCATAATCTTCTTGATCACGATTATTTTGAAATTGGTTTTTTCTCCTTCTTCTTTTTTTACTTTCTTTTTAATTTTAATTGTAGCAAATCACATTCGAACATTTCGTTCTTATAAATCTTATCGAACGATCAGTAAGTTGTCATAATTGCCTTGAAATTTTCTCTATATCTATCCTCTTCCATCTCGAATTTCATTAGTTCGAAATTTAATTGTAATAACCTATTGCTGAGATGATATCTGTTCATGACATATTCCCATTTCTTCCTTCTCTCTCTCTCCCTTTCTCCCTTCTCTTTCTTACTTTTGTTCGAATATATTCAGGTCAGGTATCTCGTATCGATTAGATTCATTATCCCTCCTAATTTATTTTCCCCCATCTATCCCAAACTCACTCTCTCTCTTTCTCTCTCTCTCTCTCTCTTTCTTTCTTTATTTCTTTCTTTTCTCCTTGATAGTCACCTATCCTGTAAACCCCACAATTTGAAAAATATAAGAATATTCAAATTGGATCGATCGATTGGGCCATTTATGTTTGTACATATATATAAGTATGTGCCGTTTGAAAAATTCACTTAAATGACATCGATTTAAAAGCCCTAATTTACAAGATCGTTTAGTTGTTTCGAGTAGTGTACTCGATAGAAAACGAGATGATTTCAAGTGGCTCGCAAATTACACTGAAAGCAAACAGACTGTCCAACGTAGTTCGCCAAACGATCGTACATGCTTTTAACTTTGGCTCGGAAATCGAATTTATAACTCTTTACACCGATTCGTTTATCTTCTTCCTCTTTCTCTTTCTCTTTCTCTCTCTCTCTCACTCTCTCTCTCTCACTCTCTCTCTCTCTCTCTCTCTCACTCTCTCTCTCTCTCTCTCTCTCTCTCTTATGTATATATCACTTTAAAATGAAAAGAAAGAAATATTACGAAGCTAATCACAAGGTACGTAAATTTTCAAAATAATGGACTATCGTCATGAACAATACCATGCCAAAAAATTAAATTTCGTATGTATAATATATGCATATACATATATAATTAGGACAATCGAATTATTGATATATATCACTATGGACTGTAAAGACAAAAATGTTAGAAAGAAAATCACGAAGTAGGTAAATTTTCAAAATGGTGAACTACCATAACGGATAGTACCATACCAAAAAAATTAACCTGTATATGTACTTATATTGCATATGTACTTACATGCAATTATAACAATACGGGAATATATATATACTTATATACATATATATATTTTGGAAATAAAAAGGGAAAGAAAAGTTAAACAATTAACAACGTACGATGTAAATAATGAGTTTTACCATCATGGTTGATAACTATGCAAAAAAAAAACAAAGAGCTAACCTGCAAACTAATGTAGATAATTATTACTACAATCTTATTAGTAGTTCAAACCAAAGATATAAAAGTCATGCGTGGCTAATACAATATCATCTTTACATGTCGCAACCTACTTTCTTGGCCAGGTAGAATTTTGAGAAAATATAACGTCAGCTCTCTCTCTCTCTTTCTCTCTCTCTCTCTCTCTCTTTCTGTCGTTTGCATTTAGTAAGCCAAGGCTCGGCCTTTGACAAAGATATAATTTTCGAAACCTATTTGTGACAAAGTGAAGTACTTTCTGTCTCTCCTCGTTTAATTTCTTACTTAATTTTTATTATTTTTATATTATCACTTTCGAAAGTATTTTAAACTATCTTAAAAGTTAGTACTCTTTGTTCTTTAAACTGCGTTAAACGCCATAGAAATGAGCTTATTCTCTTTCTCTCTTTTTCCCTCTCTCTCTCTTTCTAGGTCCACTTGATTTTTCGAAATCGATATTTCGGCATTATTGATTACTCGAATTTAATATCTAACACTACACTATTCTCTTTTCTCTCTAAATATATTTATATATATGTACGTATGTATATATGTAAGTATAAAATTGACAAAAAAAGATACATACGAATATCAAAACCTTGACAGATATAGGATTAGAAAGAAAGACAGAAAGAGAGAGGGAAAAAGAGGTTAAATTAGATAGAACGGACCATTCCAGTGTTCACCGAGCGTTTAATGCTTATTCGCTGAGCCCCCGTAGGGCGAAATCGAGAGGTATAAGATGAATAGATATAGATAGTATCCGAAACGAAAAGTTCAAATTTGATTGATACAACGTAATCGATGAATTTCTCTCGTTCTATCGTCGAACTCCATTCTCTCTTAAAAATCTTACATTTCTGTTTTCTTTTTTCCGAACTTTTACAAGTGCACGCAAAAAAAGAAGGCAAAAAATATATAATGTGTGCACACACACACGCATACTATATATACATATATATATATATATAAATATCAAAAAAAAACATTTGAGAATCATCCCAGTCGTGTTTTAGCTTCGTGTTTTAGCTTCGTCGTGTTTTAGCTTTGGTTCCGTATGCACGAGAAGGCAGAGCTACAATACGGAAATAGCCGAAAGAAAGAAAGATATATAGAGAGAGAGAGAGAGAGAGAGAGAAAGATAGAGAGAGAGAGAGAGAAAGATAGATAGATAGAGAGAGAGAGTGATAGAGAGAGAGAGAGAGGAGTCGACGTTGTCTTCGTGTACTTAGGAAATTTTTGCGACTCACCTCTTCTCGTTCAAGCATAGCAGTCACCAAGAAAAGAGCGGGACCGGCGCCACGATCAACTGCATTTCGTCGTTTTTGTCTACGACGTATAAAAGATGACGATCGGAGAGGGATATCTCTTTCCGATATAATCTCAATATGATATATATTATTTTGAATAGATATGCGTTATGAGAAAAAATTTTCCTCTCGAGGACAATGATGAAAATTTCTTTATAATGATTCCTTTGTGAAATTCAAACGAATCATCTTGTCCGTTCGATGTTTATCTTCTTCCTTGTTCTTTTCCTTTTTCTTCTTCTTCTTTCTCTTCTTCTTCCTCTTCGAATCCTTCAAGAGTCGACTAGCGACGACGAGGACGACGACGCTCGACTGGTGCCTCCTCCTCTGCCACTTGTTTCACAGGCGAGCGCTGCGATCGACGTTCCTCGCGTTTCGTCTATCGATTAAACGCCGCTTAAGATGACCCTTCTTGCCCTCTTTGGCACAAGGACCGCGAAAAGCACTGCGACCAACACCGTAAATGAACGAAATATATATATCTCTTTTCTATATAACCCTTTTCGATAAAAAATCTCTTTTTTAATTTCTTTTCTTTTATTTGTTTTTCCTTTTTTTTTTTTTTTATTTTTTTTATTTTATTTTTTTTATTTTATCTTCAAATTATCAACGCGCATTTCGCGGTCGCCAAAGATAAATCCCTCTTTGTAAAGATACATATATGTTCATTGGCAAAAGAAAAAGAAATTAAAAGAAAGAAAGAGAGAGAGAGAGAATAAGTGCGTAAAAAAGAAAGAGAAAGGAATAGAGAGAATTTTGTAAATAAAACAGGAAAAAAGTTACGCGCCAAGTAAACCCAACGTAGCACGCTGCTGATACTGTCGATGTCGATGCTGCTGCTGCTGCTGCTTCTGCTACTATTACTATTACTACATTACCACACTACTCTACTACACTACTACTAATATTACAGGCTACCGTCTTCACTACCGGTGAAGGTGGTGATGCTGCTACCGCTATTACTGATGACGGTAGCGATACTGACGTGATGACGGTAATGGTAGTAGTGATGGTGATGGTGGTAGTGGTGGTGGTAGTGATGTGGTGGTGCTCCTTCAGTTACTATAACTGCTGCCATCTCCTACAGAGACATTACTTGGATAGAAGCCAGCTGTGCGCGTGCCTCGAAGATTATCCCAAGCGACAAACTCTGCGTATCTTTCGTTGCTAGTGTCACATTCGCCCACATCCCCATCCCTACTCCCGCCCACTACCCTACATATCTAACGCTACTACCGTTTTTCGATTATTCAATACAGCGACGACCCGTCGTATTTTTTATTATACTACAAATCACGTATCTAATCTTTCTTCCAATCACGAATCCATAAATCCATGAATCTTGAGAATTAATGACTTAATACTTTTTGTTACTTTTTTCTACTTATTCTAAATAGATCTTTTATTATTATCATATATACTTAATTTAATAAGGAATGATTGACATCATTATAAAGGAACTACCTTCAGAAAATAAAATAATCATATTTTTATTAAAATTCAACATCTTAGGTTCTCCACGTAACGTGTACATCATCGGTTCTATACCTTTGTATACAGGTCGTCTCGATCCAAGGGGTAGGACCATCATTCTTATATTGTAACAATCCCGCGACAGCGATCATAACGCCATTGTCAATACAAAATCTCTCATCAGTTGCATACAATGTTGCGTTTCTTTCCTTACACATGATTGACATCATTTCCTGTAATCTTTCATTACATCCAACACCACCCACGATTAATACCTCATTTGCTCCCACATGAGCCATCGCTCTTTCTATAATTATTAATATATTAGATTAAAAAATGATATGAATTATCAGAACTATGTAAACTATTTTGATTGACAAAAAAAAATAATTTGTTTACCAGTTATTTCGATCAGCATGGCAAAAACTGTTTCTTGCAAAGAGAAACACAAATCTTCTGGTGTATATTCTTCATTCTTGATCCAATTAGAAAGATGTTCCTCGATATGACTTAAAATACCAGAGAAAGATACATCCATTCCTTTTACTACGTATGGCAATGGAGCCAACTTCTTTCCCCTTTTTACATTCATGAAATTTTATTAAGTTTCCATCGTGTCAGACATATCTAACGATCTTTACAAATATAAAAATCTTTCGTATAACAATCTTTTCGTAAGTAAAGTCAAAAGACTTAATACTTAATACTTACTTTTTCGCAAGCTGTTCAATGTTGTATCCAGGACTAGGATTATTGGAAAGCATCAACAATCTTGCAAAACGATCTAGACAATTGCCAACGGCAATGTCTATTGTTTCTCCAAATATGCGATATTTTTGACGAGAATATGCAATAATTTGTGTATTTCCACCTGACACATATAACACAGTAGGATTTGTACTACCAGTAATTAAACGACCCATTTCGATATGTGCCACACAATGATTGACCGCTACCATCGGTTTGTTGTAAATCTGAGCCATAGTACGAGCCACTAACGCAGCAACTGTCAAAGGACCACCCATTCCTGGCCCTTTCGTATAACATATGACGTCGATCTCTTTCATAGAAACTTTGGCATTGTACAATGCTTCCTTAAGAACATCAATTATACATTTTCGATGATGCTCCGCAGTTTCACGTGGTAAAAATCCTTATCACGAGAGAGAGAGAGAGAGAGAGAGAAATAAAAAGAAATTCCTTGTTCTAATTTAATGAGAAAATTATAAAATAGAAAATAATATATATTAGGTTATGCTTACCTTCGCCCGGTGGTGTGATATAAGTATTTCGTACATTAGATAAAATCTCATCGTCACGTATAATTCCAATACCTAATTTATTCGCACTACCCTCGAAACCTATAGCTATCACCATATTTAACAAACATTTAATAATAAAATTACGAACGAAAATTATCACCCTTCTACATTAGTCATAATATATATCTAGCGGAGTGAATCTTCAACGAATAATAGAAGTTTAAATGGAGATTACCAATGAGAAAGCGTTATTGACTCAACCAATGAGCACGATCGAATGCTCAGGACAGAGAAAATCGTCGTGTCACTGATTGGACGAAAGTTTCCGTTCTTCTTAAAATCGACCAGTTAAAACTCGACGTCGTTACGACTCGTTAAAAATAATATTAGTATCGCATCGAAGGAGGCAAGTAGACGACTACATACAGGTACTCATTTTGCTGAGTTGGGAAAGCAACGTCTTTCCTCGTTCCCTATTGAGATACTACGTCACACGCGGAAGTGATTTTGTGGAGAATTTGTGCCAGAAAATGCAAGTTTTCGAGTTGCCGGGGTGAGAAAAGTGAGTGTCGTCGTTAGTCCGAATGTTCCTTCAAAGTCCGGTGATCGCGGTGATACGAAAATAACGAAGGAAGTAGTCGCGCTCCGGCGAATGGCCGATTGATTTTCAAGGTGATAACCATCAGACGCGAGCGGATGAACGGCTTTGACGCTTCGGTACGAAAAAAAAAAATACCGCAGCCCAAGTGCTGACGCGAGGGTCAGATGAGAGTCCTGTTTCTGTTTCCTTTGAACAAATAAAGGCAAAAGGGAGAGAAAGAGAAGAGAACACGAAAAAAAAAATATATATATATATGTATATATAAAAAAAAAAACTAAAAACTAAAAACAAAAAAAAATTTTAGTGCAAAATCGGGATATAAAAAGAGAAATCAGAGTGTGCGAAGGTGTGTACTGCCGCCAGTGCGCAAAAAAAAAAAAAAAAATAAAAATAAAAAAAAGGAAAGTGGGAAGGAGAAGCGAGAGAAACCGAACTTCGCTCTTGCGTTCGTGAAAATTACGAAAAAAAAAAAAAAAAAAAAAAAAAAAAAAAAAAAAAAAAAAAAAAAAAAAAAAAAAAAAAAAAAAAAAAACCAGAAAAAAAAGAGTAAAAAGTAAGGGGTGCTAAGGAGGCAGAAGAGAGAACGCGGTATATATATATATATATACACATATACTCCTCTCTTCGCTTGTCGATGTTCGAGTCGTAGTCTCGAAATCTCTTCTCGAAACCGGTCCGCGAAGATATTCGCGATTGTTGGTTCGTGTTCTCGTTCGTTCGTCGCTCGTTCTCTGGTACGTACGTACAATGACCAAAACGGTGTCGCGGTTTGATCGTTCGCAAATTTGCGCGACCTTGACGTATCATCATTCGTCCATTCTTTCCCTTGAGAAAGGAGGGAAAGAACGTGAACGGTTCTTTCGTCGTCATTTCGACGAATTGTCATCGCGGTCGTCATCGTCGTCGTCGTCGTCGTCGTCGTCGTATGACTCGAGAAACAAGAACGTTTCGTCCAGGCACCGATTAGGCCGGACGATACGCTTATATACTCGCGTATCTTTGACGATGAGCCCGAGGATCGTGCGGTCTCGCTCGCTCGCTTGATTGCGGTTGCGGTTGCGCGCGCGCGCGCCCACGCGGCTATTCGGTACGGAATACCGAACGGCAACATCGCACTGCTCCCGAGGCGGCGCGCACTTTGTGCAAGTTCGACGGTCGTAACAGCGGGCCGACGGTGAGACGACGGCGGAACGGCAATGGCGGCGACAATGGCAATGCATTGTAAACAACAGCAACGACAAGTGCCGACAGATATATGTGTGTGTGTGTGTGTATATACACACATATATATATACATATATGGCTTATTACCAATTTCTTCTTGTCGATACCGCCAAGATGATGCGCTCGCTTCAACGACAATGCATTTCTAGACTTTCTATGTCCACCAACTGTTCATACATACGACTACTCATACGTCCGTCCGTCCGTCCGTCTATCTGTCCGTTCGTCTGTTTTTCCGTTCGTGCGATCTAAAAACTCGCTTCTCGAAGCGTTCGAAAGTTCATACACGCGCGCGCAGCGTTATATGGATCGTGGATCGAAGCGTACCACACGATTCTGGACATACGGAGAGAGTGGCGATGGTAAGGCATCGCGTACGGGTGATACGTCCACTAAAAAAAAAAAGATTTGTAATAATAATAATAATAATAATAAATAATAATAGTAATAAAATAAAATAAAAAACCTCGGATATTCTGGATCTCGCGATTCATCATCCTCTTCTTTTTCTTCTTTTTCTTCTTCTTATTCTTCTTCTTATTCTTCTTCTTATTCTTCTTCTTATTCTTCTTCTTATTCTTCTTCATATTTTATCATTGTTAAAACAATACGAAGCGCAATTGCGCTTCGCAAAATACACTAACCTTCCTGCTAGTGTTTTGACTCAACGCAAGATGATACCGATTTGCTACGTATATTTTTTCACGTAGGCCAATCAACCGTTTAGGCAGCCCAACGCAAAGAGACGAGCATTGGTTTACTCTCGAGATTCTACGGCAATTAGATCAACGCGCATATTCATTATTGCAGCCGTATTACTGTCATGTTCTGAAATCTAAACTGTGATTTCACAGGAAGGATTGGGATCGTCGTGTTGAATTGTTTTTACATCCTCTATATCTTCCAAAAATATTCATTAATTCAGGTAAAAAGCAATTTTCCATCGGATCCTTCTTACATATTCGTTATTCTCATATCTTCTTCAATCTATAACGAATATTTAATATGAAATATTTTACTCGTATCTCTATCAGTGATGTCACGAGACTATGATAGAAGGAGAGGAGGCAGTGGTAGCAGCTCGAGCAAACTTAGGATGGACACTAGCGTCTCCCAGACTAGACCACATGGTGAAAGTTCGAGCAAACGGAGGGAATTAGATACCGTCATGCGAAAAGCTCGTGAGTCTCAGTCGAGCTATTGGAATAAAAAGCTTTTGGAAGTAGAAGAACGTGATCCGAATAGATGGCGACACAGTGGATATAAAGAACTTTATGTCGGAGGTACATCAAGTGGAGAACCAAGTAGAAGTCATCCTCGTAGTCCAAGAAGTCCTAGACCAAGAAGTCCTCACAGCCCACGACCACGTAGTCCTCGTGCTAGAAGCCCTAGATCACCACGAGAACGTTCTCATACAAGAGGAAGAGCTGCGAGAAGTCCTAGTACAGGGAGTACCTGCTCGGATAGATCATGTTCCGTCTGTTCACCGAAGGAACGTCGTCGTATAGCACCACCATCTCGTTCGCGTTCAAGATCAATCACACCGGTACGTGCGCGTGCACATCCTAAAGAGGTTGTGCCTTCGAGTTCGCGTGCTCTGCCACCTCGAACTAGACCAAGATCACCACCTTTACCACGTCCGCGTACACCACCCCCAGCACCTCAACCTCCACCGAGACATCAGAAGGATTATAAGGCTTTAAAAGAAAAAGAAGCCAAGGTTAGACGCAAGGAGAAACATCATAGCAGATTGCCCGAGGATCCACGTGTTCCTGATCCTCTACCATTGGTATATTTCCTTACATTTTATCTATTATATATTATCTCATTATTTGCTAATTTGATTCTTCATTAGTAGCATATTATCCATGTAAATCCGAAGCATAGATGCTGCTTTAATTATCTTTTTTTTTTTCTTTCCAGCTGCCATAAATTCCGTCGCAGTAATACGTTTTTCACAATATATTCTGGATATCATCGATATTATTACATTTTTCATTTTATATATTGTGTAGATGCGCAAACCTGTAAAAGTAGAAAAGACACATTCGAGCCATGGAGCACCGCCGATGATGCGTCAACCACCGGACTCCTCACCTAGTGAAGATAGCGACAGTTCTTCTACAGCATCCCATGTAGGGCCACCGAGAATGACATTATCCGAACGGTATTACTTAAACAATTATTTTGATCGAATCATAATTTGAAATGTATAAATACATTCATTGTTCGATTATATAACGTAACCGATCAAAAATCTAAGATTCATCAAAGAAATTTTATTTCTGTAGATTTGGTAAAATGGCTCAATGGAGCGTGGATCGTAGAGATATGGAAAATATGCGTATCACTAAAGATGGAGAAAATGCTATGAAAGTTGTAATAGAGGGTGAAGAAAGAATCGCTCGATTGGGTTACGAATCTCCACCTCCTGGACATTATCCTGAATCATTATTGGCTCAAGGACCAAGAGGTTTAGAATGTTGGGACGATGTACGAGTTCGATACGATTATTACAAAGCAAGAGGATATTTACGAGACCTTACTTTAGATGACTACATCAAATGGGAAGAATGGTGGTATAAATACCAGGAATGGTTAGAGGCAGAACGATTTTACGAACAATGGGCCTCTTCTAATCGTTCTTCCGGAGGAGGCCGCAAAAGACGAGGACGACGAAATAACGCCGCTCACTAATAAAAGAGAAGAAGAAAAAAAAGTTAATAATAATAATAATAATAATAATAATAATAATAATAATAATAATAAAAAGGAATTTAAAAAAATCTATATCATTGCGCTACAGCTTGTTGTTTTCGATTCACACAGAACCTTGTCATAAATATAAATTGTACACACTGTTGTAACATTTATCGCGCTTAGTATACAAACAAGTATACAATGTATACATGTATTTTTCATTATTTACACAGCAGATACAGACATATATTACGCAGGCAGATACAGGCATGTATTACGCGTACACGTAATAAAGGCATAACTCTGCTCTGTGAAAGCCTTTCGTTTTAATAATAAAGATAGAAGATGAACTGTAAAAACAAATTTATGCCCATTAACAAAACTATATATAATTTTCTCTCTCTCTCTCTCTCTCTCTCTCTCTCTCTCTCTCTCTCTCTCTCTCTCTCTCTCTCTCTTTCTCTCTCTATTTTTTTTTTAATATTTTCTTTCTTTAATTGATACCAAATAATATTTACGTCATCGAATACAGTTAGTTTGGCTTTAGTACGTTTTATATACTTTGTATTTCTGATTTTCTCTATATAAATATGTAACGTAAATAAAAATGCACAAATTTAATTTTGCTACCTTTTATACGAGGAGTTTATGGCAAGAGAAGATCTTTAGATGAATTTAATATTCTATTTCTTTCTAACCTAATATATTAAACATTTTAAAGATTAAAGTATAAAAACTTAGTTATTTTATAAAAACAATATTAATATGAATTAATGGTTCAATTATAATATTTTAAAAATGGCGCAAAATTTTTTTGACCAATTATTTTTGTTTAGAATAAAGAGTAAAATATACTTAATGTTGGCAACCCTGAAAAGTTATTTTGAATCACGTAGTATGTTACCAGTTGCCATCACATTGCTCTTTCCGTTCTTTCGTAACGTGTAACTTGTCGCGTGTATATGTAGGAAAGAATCGTTACTAAAATCCAATAACATCTAAGTTAATTCTTCAAGTTTTTATAAATTATTATATACAATGCCTCCCAAATTCGATCCTAATGAAATTAAGAAAGGTATTTTAAAGACATTATTATAGTGAAATTATTAAATATATAAAAAGGTGATATTAATGATGTATAATTTTTTATAGTATATTTGAGATGCGTTGGTGGTGAAGTTGGAGCAACTTCATCTCTTGCTCCAAAAATTGGTCCACTTGGTTTGGTAAGCTAAAAATATAAATATTAATGTTAATACCACAAATAAAAAAAATGTTTGAGTTTTGTTTTCATTACCAATTCTATTTTACAGTCACCCAAAAAAGTTGGTGACGATATTGCCAAAGCTACCAGTGATTGGAAGGGCTTAAAAATTACTGTACAACTCACAATTCAAAATAGGCAAGCTACCATTTCTGTAGTTCCATCTGCTGCTTCTTTAGTTATAAAAGCGCTCAAAGAACCACCAAGAGATAGAAAAAGGCAGAAGAATATTAAGCATAGTGGAAACTTATCATTCGATGATATAGTTTCTATTGCTCGTGCCATGAGACAAAGATCAATGTCTAGAAAACTAAGCGGCACTGTAAAAGAAATTCTTGGCACGTGTCAGTCTGTTGGTTGTACTGTAGAAGGCAGACCTCCTCATGATCTTATCGACGATATAAATAATGGATTATTAGAAGTTCCAGAAGAATGATTTAGTAAGTATAGAGCCCTTTCCTCACACTTTCCGTTATAATATTTATAAGAATTTAATATATTGAATTTTTGGTTTTTTAATATCAGAAAATAACTTTAATATAAGCTATAATATTGTAAAGAAAAGTGTTAGTTTTGGGCTCTTGGTAGGGGTTGGCATCCCATCCGCCTGATTAGTATTTACTTTGTTACAAAGTTAAATACTGACAGGTATCATAGCCACTGAGGAGAAAACCTCATTAATAAATCATATGTTTTATATAAAAGTGTATTAAAATTATTTATTATATTGTATTAAGCATCATGTATTACTTTTCTTTCCAGATTTGTCATAAGGCATTGGAAATATAAAAGATATAAAAATCACATTTCTTTATGTATTAGACATTTATTTCCATAGTTGTCCTATTTCTTTTAAAAAACATAGCTACATCCTTTTTATTTTCTTGTATCGTGATATTTCTGTACAAAAAAGCTCATTACTAATTTTAATTAGTAAAAGAAATTATTAAATTTTTATTTCTTTATATACAGTTAAAATTTCATATGCTAAACATTAATTGCAAAATCATAATTCTTTTTTTCCATTTGACTTTTTTTCTCTATCGCCATTTATTATTAAATTATTTATGGAAATATACAGAAAATAATTACATTTATAAAGTAAGGTAAATATATATTGTTGAATTATTATCAAATACTTATTTTTAAATTATAAAAGTACATTACAAAAACATTTGGATATATCTAGTTATCTAAAAAGATAAATAGTTATCAATGTTAAGTTTAACAAATCAATTGCTATTGTTGAAATTGTAACTGACTATAATATCTATAACTACATTTTAGATATATCTTTTCACTTTTTAATTATATCTTTATCTCTCTGTTTCCGATTGCAATTTTTATTTGTTTAATTTATGTATGTGTATTATACAATAACATTCAAAGATGTACAGATGACGATAAATTGAATTACTGATTTGATAATAACTTTGATAACATTAAAGTGATACCTTCCCTATATTTTAAATATGTAAAACTACTCTCCCAATACATGTCCTCTTCCCCAATAGTGACCACCGAATACATTTCTAGCTTGTTGTTGTCTACCAGGTCTTTCCGTAGGTGCATTGCCAAACCATCGAATTCCACCTCTTTGAGGAGGAAAATATGTTTCCAAAATTTTAGGAGTAACAAGCCATTCTCTGCCTCCAAGTTCTTGAGGATATTTAAATTTAAGAAATACATAGATATGACCAATTAATATACCATAGAGCTCCATCATGCCACTTCCAGAAACGATCATATTAAATCCAAATAATACCCACGGCAAATACATAGCTTTAAATCTTGTACCTATTAAAAATTGATAAATATTTTTTTTATTATCTATTCATTAGGATAAATTAATTAGAAAAATATAAGAACATACCAAACCAAAAATTAACAATAGCATCTTTGTTTAGTTGACACCATACATATAATACGCTTAATACCATAGGATCCATGAGCAATGGGAAGCCATTAATGAATCCTAATATAACGCAGCATAACCAATTGAACAATAGCATATAGCAATAATCTGCTGGTCTTCCATCATATTCTCCACGTTCCAATCTCAATGAATAATTGTAGAGGAAATACAAATTAATTAAAAAATGAAATCCTGCTGGTGGATTCGTAGGATAATAAAGGACACTGGTAATTGGCCTCCAAATTTCAAAATTGTTTATAAATCGATCATAGGATAATACGAGTGTAGATGAATGTATAAAACCAAATCTACCGATTAATGACAAACTAACCGTAAACAATAACCAATATCTTGTAAATATTGGTAATGAGTTAAACCAGTCTCTCACGTCTGACATTTTCTTATGTTTTCAAATGCGTTTCACACTCTGCCACTGTGCACTTTACCGTAACTTATTACTATTAGCTAAGGCTGACGTGTGATTATTTTATAAGATCTGATACGACGTTACTTTCCGTTTCGTGTTTGCACATTATAGGTTAGAATAGAAAAGTTAAGAGTAGGTTTTCAAAGTATGGTGTCGCTATATGTATTCCACATCTCAACAGTTCAGTGGCTTAGTAAGTCAAAGACCTTTCTTTATTTCGATTGTCTGAACTCGAACAATGAAATTAGCAATAATTAAAATATGATTACGAACTAAGATATAATTTTGCACGAATTTTCCAAATTTTTTATTCTTCAAAATTGATTTTTTTTTAGGAGGTGAATAACAAATTTATATTTTCTATTCTAATTATTAAGAAATAAACTGTAACATTAATCACGTGGATTTATATAATTTTATTAAAAATGTAAGGGGAAGCAATATATCATAAAGATACTTATATAAAATGGCTAGTTTATTCTGATCACATTGTCGTGTGTCTAATACGAGTATAATCATAAAACAATCACATGTTTATTTCTTTTTTGTCATAGATGCATACATACCCATCTCGTTTTACAAAGAAACATGTATGCTGGGTAATAATATTTATGGAATTACAAAATTTTTATGTAAATTGTACAAATGAAACACACAACACTTCTTGCATTTCTTTTTTTTTTTTTTTTTTTGTTATATACTAATCTCATATTATTTAAATAATAGCTTATTATGATATCAAGTGTTTTGTTCCAAATTTTATATGATGATGTTTATAATACAGGTATCATGACAATTTACAAATTACATTTTTGTTATCTCACCTAATGAAGAATATTAATCATAGACATTATTTTCATAAATTATTCAAATTATTTGAGTGATTTTCTGTTCCAGACATTGTTGGAGATGTCCGCTTTCCTTTTCTTTGCTTGGTTTTTTGTTTTGGTGTTCTGGGGGACTTATCTAGAAAAAGTGTGTATAAAAAATTCTCTCCGATAAGTTTATAACCAATTTAATGTCTATGTTTATTCTTTTTGTACATCACATTTCTTTCTTTGACATCATTGAAAGCACGTGGCGGATTCAAAGTTTCGGGTGATTTATTGCGTGATCCTGTACTCCTGTACTTACTGAGTGTATTAAGAGTTTCCTTTGGTAACCAATCATAATCTACGTTATTAGGATTAGATGTTCCCATTTCTATAGGTGCTTTACGTGTTGTGGAAGAACGAGATTTGCGACCAAAAGATGATAGGAGTTGTTGTCCACCAACTAAAGTCAATATTACGCATGCGGCAAGGAACACATAAAGAAACACAGTCTCTCCATCCAATCCATCATCTAATTCTATGACTTGTACTGTTTCATTATAAACTGCTTCACTATAGCCGATTCCATTCTACAAAAATATATATTATAAGGTCTTATCAATGTATTTAACATTATCTTTTAATTTATTACATACCGCATCTCTGTAATTAAGATTAACATTTAGTCCAAATGGTCTTCCTGCAAATGTTTCAGAAGGTACAAAAGAATATGCCAATGTTGCTTCATGTTTTGGTTTTACTACTCTATTAAATGAGAATGTAGAGAAGTTTTGAATATAGAAGTTAAAATCCATGGCATAACGAAACGAGGCATCCAATGATTCCAAAACAAAATCATTTTCACCTTTGTTAGTGAAACCAACAAGAAATTCTACCAAATTTCCAGCTGGTAACTCTATAAACAGAATTATTATTTTTTATTAACCAAATATGTATTAGAAATGCTAAATAAAATTATACATAAGAATATAAAACGTATACCGAGGGTGGATAACGCATTATGAATAGGTTTAGTAAACAAAATGGTCGTATCTGCATCAGCCGAAGCATTAGTTGTTTCTTCTTCCAATTCATCATCTGTGATAACTGTATTGTCTTCACCTTCTACATCTACTATATCATCAATATTTTCATCTTCTTGAGCATAAGCTACACCAGATCCTGTTCAATATAAAAATATAAAAAAAATTTATATGATTTGATATATGCCAATATAAAATTATTATTTATAATTAATTGAATACTTTTAATATTAAATAATTTTTACTATTGTACATAAAAATATGTTATATGAAAATCTTTTTGTCATAATGATAAACCCTTTTGTTAGGTTATGAAATTAGATCTTTTGAAATTAAATCTGTCAGAAATTCTCACTAATATTATATTCGAAAATTGGTAAAGACAATATATTTTATATGAAAAAAAAATTTGAAAAAGAAATTAAGAAAGACGATAATTATTAATTTTTATATCTGTCACTGTCACCATATCAAAGAATATACATTTTAATGATTAAATATTTCATTATACATTACCTCTGTTTGCACTTAAAATGATAAGAGGAATGGCTAATAAGAGAAAAAGACTGAATCTCTTCATTTTAATTCACTAGTTGTATACTATCTTTTCTGTTATGTATAAAGATTAATTTGATTTCACATATACTCTGTTACTGAATCTACGATTGAATACTCCGGCATAACGAGACCGTTACCATTGTCGCATGCTACGTGGAAGGTCAACAACGTCGCGTCAATTCGTCAACGTGGAACATGAAGTATTTAACCATAAAATATTTATAATTTTATAGAAAGTCATTTGATTTCTTTCTACTGCCATAACACACTTCAGCCCTCTTCAGGTCTTTTATGAAATAATTTTAATATAGCCTTCAATATTGCTTACATATATATATATATATATATATATATATATATATATATGTATGATTATATCGATTGTATAAATGAAATTTAATAATAAATTTATATATTATAAGTCGAAAATATATTAATTATGTAGTTTTATACGTTTAATACACTTTTCTTTTGACGAGTATCATGAGTGAATATGACGTCATCAAATTTCCAGATGGCGATCAAAGCTTTTGTATTTGACATTTAAGTCTTTATTGTATACTAACATTTGTTTGACAGACATCTAACTTATTTTAGGTATAGATAAATTATTGGAATTTCAAATTACTGATTCATATTACTGAAATTTAATCAATATCCTGATTAACAATAAAAGTTCATATTTAATTTATATGTCATCTATGTTTTTAATCTTCTTCCATTGATTTAGAGTTTGACTTTAATAATGATTTTAATACATATTAACACGTACATGTGATTTTTCACTGATATTTTACTAACATTACAGACAGTGATAGAAAAATTTGAAGAATCAAACATGGATTTTGAAGATGACTTCTTTTTCGAGGAAGATAAAATGTTGGTCTTAGATAATCATAGATCTTAATTATTTATATTTGTTATATGTTTCGTTACAGTTTCAATGTGCTTCCTTTTTCTTATAACATGCATGCTCTGATGCCACGGTGCGGTGGAACAGCTTATTGGATAATTCATTAATATCTCATGGCAATGCTTCAGTTAATAATTCAAGTGGATTAATCAAGGATAAAATTCCTGGTTCTGTAACCACCGTGCCACCAGCTATTGTTGAATTGCATCAATTAGCCATGATGGAAGACCGCATGTATGCACTAGTACTTTTATATATATTCTTTTTTATGTTTGTAAAAAAATCTTTTTGCACATTTTGCTTATATATCATCGCTTAATTTCTTCTCTGCTATTATTTGCTCTTGTGGAATACAGACCAGATGTAGAATTGGTCGCACAAGATCAATCTATACCACAGCTTCCCAATATTCAACTGTGAGTGTCTCTTTCATTTATTCGATAGTTTGATGAATTCAATCAGTTGAATTTGTATTTATTGGATAATAAAAATTTTTCCTTAATTTAATAAAGTACTTTATTTTATGATTCTGCATGTGTATACTATATATCTTTTTAATGAAATATTACAGTAAATATACTAAATAATCTATATGTATGTGAAATATATATATATTGTTTACTTTTTAATAATAAATTTATTAGTAGTATTAGAGTAGTAGTAAACAAATAATATGATCAAATACTAATAAATATTTTGTATTGTTAATATATTAGGGGTATGACTATTACTTCTGGAAATGTAGTAATACAAAAAGATAACAACAACCTCATTGGTATCAGTATTGGTGGTGGATCTCCTCTTTGTCCTTGTCTATATATTATACAAATCTTTGACAATACACCTGCTGCATTGGATGGTACTCTTCAATCTGGGGATGAACTAGTAGCTGTAAATGGGGTCTCTGTAAGGGGTAAAACAAAAGTAGAAGTTGCAAAAATGATACAGTCTTGTGATTCCCAAATTAGCATTAATTACAATAAATTGCATGCTGATCCTAAGCAAGGACGTACTCTTGACATTGCTTTGAAAAAGGTGATTAGTTTATAATAAACAAAAAATAAATTATTTGATTATCAAAGCATTACCATCCATTAATGATCATAGGTTAAACATCGATTAGTAGAAGGGATGGGTAGTGCAACTGCTGATGCACTTGGTTTATCGCGTGCTATTCTTTGCAATGATGCTCTTGTTCAAAGACTAAATGCTCTGCAACGTACAGAAAATTTATATAGGGGATTAGTTTCTCATGCGAAAGCAACATTACATACCTTTTTTGATCTCACTCAAATTTACAAAGGCAAGTATATATCATTTTATTTTACTTAAGAAATATCAAATAAAATTTTTTTAATGATGGAAAAATATTTGTGTTTATTTTAGTATTCGGAGATACTTTCGCAGCGATAGGTGTTAGAGAGCCACAGCCACGTGCTAGTGAAGCATTTAGACAATTCGGAGAACAACATAGACAAATGGAAAAATTTGGAGTGACTATGTTAAAAACGCTGAAACCTATATTAAATGATTTAGGCACATACCTTCATAAAGCAATACCAGATACACGTTTAACGATAAGCAAATATGCAGATGCAAAATTCGAATATCTTTCGTATTGCTTGAAAGTTAAAGAATTAGATGACGAAGAACAAAGTTATGCAGTATTACAGGAACCTCTTTATCGCGTTGAAACTGGAAATTATGAGTATCGATTGGTTCTACGATGTCGACAAGAAGCTCGTGCTAAATTTGCAAAATTAAGAGCAGATGTGCTCGTTAAATTAGAACTGCTCGATAATAAACATGTTCAAGATGTCGTATGGCAATTACAAAAATTTGCATCTGGGTTAGCAAAATATTACGCTAATAGCGCAGATTTATTATCGGCAGTAACATTATTCCCTGTAGAAGTTGACTTATCCCATTCCGCGTTTCAATATAAATCGACTGGTCCTCAGTCAGTACAAGATAACGAAGATATTGATGAGTTTGAGCCAGAACAAAAACAAGAAGTCAAGGAAGAAGTTCTCATAGATACACAAAATCCACCATTAATATGGATGGACGGAAATAATATGTAGCGATATGTACCAAAAGACAATTAAATGAGTACTTTTGAACTTTTATTATTAAATATTAACTTTTTGAAGTTTATAACGATAAATTATTGACAGTACAATATGCCTACAAGTACATTCCATATAAATTTTTCATAAATTAGATTTTTATTTTAGTTCAAATTCGTATTATTATTTGATAAAATATTAACGTATTTATTTATGTATTGTATAGTATATCATGTCGAATATATATATATGTACATACTGTATTATATTTAAAAAAAAGATTCTCTCTTTTTAACTTTTCTACGGCTCTTTATATAACAAATAATTTAATGAGTTTACTTTATCAAACTACTTTAAGATAACTAATACTTAAAATACTAATACATTCAAAACCACGTGACTACCGCTAATAAGTAAGCAACCAATTCGATCATAACCGCCATGACACCCTTCGCGTTTGCTCATTGTTAAGGTAACTATCGTGCATTTTCAAGCTATAACAATTCTTAGTTTTAATTGTTACCAATATTAGCGCTATAATCTGTTTGTGACAAAGTGTTGGTAATGTTATTATTTTTGTATCAAATTTAATCACTTTTGTGGATTGTAAATTCTTTTGGATCATAACAAAAAACTTTCTTGTTAAATCTATAGTGATCGTATTTAAAAAAAAGAAAGAATAGTATTGGTGGAAGATGCTCTTTCTAATCTATTGTCGATAAAACAGATTACTGATCAATATGTTGGTAATTTATAGAATGTATACATTCCATCACGTTTAAAAGAGGAAATAGTTTATATTTGAATATATCTCATATATATATCGTAATTTTTAGTTAATTGTAAGAAAACCGGATTTATATCTCTTCAACGTGTACATTTTTTTTTCTTTTCTTTTCTTTTTTTCTTTTTCTTGTTGTTTATATATACATATATATAAAAAAAAGAAAAGAAAGAAAAAAAAGAAAAAAAAACGTAGATCGCGCAGAGAATCTTTCGGTTACGACGGAATCAACCAATCGAAAGGTAGACTTTTCATACCAACGCTAAGAATGTAGATAAATTGGTTAAACTGCAGTGTCGCGTATCTTCAATCTGGCGATCTGTCAATTGCTTATAACGAAGAAACAGCTGATCCTTATGATCGAGATACTGACAAATTTTATCCCATCAACAAAGGTTACATGTGACATTTGCAAAGTAAATACTGTACATTTTCTTTACCAGTACTCCTCGCATTTTTTTTCGACGAATGATAGCGTGGGGACATTATGGTATACGCAATGACTTGTACCGTATCCCAAAAAAATGAATGCAACTCTACGGTGTTACTGGTTGCAAGTATGTAAATGATTATTGACCTCTTTTATTATTATTTTAAATTAATCTCGGTTATAATACGGTTATTTGTGAGAAGTACTTGGATATTTAATAATCATTACAAATATATCATAACTGCTATGACTAATATTTTTTTTTTCTTTTTTTTTTTCTTATCTATTTCAGCGCCTCTTTTTATTTAAGTGTGCACCACATTAATGCAATAATAATATGCTAAGGTCAAAAGACTCTGACAGCGACGGTGTTACAACTAATACCGTACGAGTCCAAGAAAGTTGTAGAGGAAAAAAAGGTGATAAGGGACATGAAGAAAGTAGTGGATGCATTCTAAAAAACGCTTTGCTTTCTATACAATCTGACGAAGAAGATTTCTTGGAGAAAGAAGCATCCAAGGTCTTACTTCTTCAGAAAGGATCAGATGTTGACGGTGAGTCTGCAACTAATTCTTGGAATAATGTAAATACAGATTCGTCGGTATCATACGTCACTTCTATTCCTAATGGAAAAGAATTTGTTATTTTAACTGGTCTTGAACAAGTTAATGATAAAGCTGTGACTACGACTAAAGGACTGAAACTGTATGATAGTTTGATCCCTTTTGAAAAAAATTCTAAAATTCAACATAGTTCAAAACAGCACAATAAGATAATATTGTTGGGCGAATTTGTGTCCGAACAAGAAGCAATAATTGGTATTAAAAACGGGGAACAAACAGAGACTTCGAAAGAAATAAAAGAAAGCATGGAACAAATAAATTATAATACCAAAACATTCGATAATAGTCAGTTTGAGAAAAATGAGGCAGATCTTAAGGAAAGTAATAATTGGTTGAAGAGTTTCCGACCTCTTCCTCTCTATTATACAGAACGTGGTAAACCTTATTTGAAGTGTCCAGCCTGTGGTGCTATGTTTTTCACATCGACCTCATTTCAAAAACATCTTTTTACACATATGTATAAGGAAAGAGAAGCATATACTTGCTCATTTTGCGAATATACTAACACAGAACCTGGTATGTTGTTCGCCCATTTGTCAAAGCACCAAGATCAGTGCGAATATTGCAATGAAAATATAATGCGCAAAAGTAATTTTGAAAAACACTGGGGTATTTGCTCTCTAAGTTTCAGTATCAAGAGAGATCGCAGAGGAAGATTTGTATGTACAATGTGTAAACTAGTGTTTGATTTGTTGCCCCAATTAGAAAAACATTGGTTTAAACATGCTTGCAAAAAAAGGCGGACTTACCAGTGTAAAGAATGTGGAGGATTGTATGGAAATAAAACCATATTACAAAATCACAAGTGTTTAAAGTGTCCCGTCTGTGGTGAAGTTTATGATAGCTTACATAGATTAAAGGCACACACAATGTGGATGAAACATCATTTGAAGTGCCTAATTTGTTCCTACGAATTTGTTCTCGCAATGGATCATGAAAAACATTTAGCTATGCACAGACAGGCTTATTTACCTATGAAAGAGCATGCTCATTGTTTGGAAGCAGCCGACGGAAAATCATATCAATGCGATCTTTGTGACAAAATATTTTATGCTTTAACACGACTGATATTACATGTAAAGGAAGATCACGGAATAGAGGACATAAAAAGAGAAGCTATTAAAGAGGAGAAGGATGAGAAGGAGCATAACGAGGGTAATGGAAATAAAGCTACATATCCGAACCTATGCGAAGCGCCTATTTGTTATACGGGCGGTCGAAATGTTAGTTTAATTAAATAACAATAATTACTTTTAAAGCAAGCAGCAGATTACACGTCGGTACAACAGTGTGGACAAGTACTTTGGCTGTGAATCGCTACTAATTGCTCCTGCGAAGTACGAAAAATTGGAATACAAATGTGTAATAATTTTAAACATACATTTTATACTCTTACGAATATATAACACATAATTACGTTATAGAAATTAAATCGTACTGTTGTTGAAACTCAATATATAAATGTCTATGTTAAGAGTTAGTAAGTTCCCGAATTTATGATAGAGGCACACAAATTATTATTATTATTATAAATCATATTAAAATGATACGTTAAATTTATAATTATATGCTTATAAGCAATGTATTTATTTTATAAAATTTTATTCGGAAAAAATAATATTATAAGAATTTGATTTTATTAATTGTTCAAACAGGGTAGCTTGCACAATGTCAAATGCTTTAATGATGCTTCTCTAATTTGTCTGTACCCTTGCGCATAAAAAGGAGTGGGCATCAAAAATTTTCGATTATTAAATAATGTACTCTCAAAATAATATACCGTTATATTATTCTTTTTTTTTTGTCTCAATCCGTTCGTTCTTTACATTATAGAACATCTAAAACATTGTATAGAGATGTATAATTTCTGTATAAGCATACGCATTTTAACGTAATGTACAAGTATATCTCCAACTTCTCTTGCATTGTCATACAGAGATGAAACCTTAATGATTAGGAAGCATTTAAGATGTTATGTTAGATTTTATTATTTTTTGTATTTTCTTCTTTGTTACTTTTTTTTTTTTGGTACTATGACTCAGTCACGTAATAACACCTTCGCAAAAATCTTTATAATGTACAATGTACTTGTAATTACAGATCTATATGGTAGCATAGCTATGCCATAAAATATTGGATGATATCAAGAGTTAAGTTTCCTTAAGTATTCTCTTTAAAAAAAATAAAAGCTTATTCATAATAACCACTTTTTTTTCTTTTTTTGATACACTTATTATTAAATACAGCAACTTGTCGAGCTCATAGTTGTTAGTAAATCATAACGATCTATCGATCGATCGATCACTATTCCACTGAGAAAAATGGTTCCGATAAGAACACAGCATATGTCGACGAAAGGCAATATGAAATATAGTCTAGCGTTTTGCGATCGTTGTTTTTCATTGAAAAATAAAAGTCGAGGTATATTCTATATACGTGCATTAAAACTTTTGCAATCAAACTTACTTTTTTTTCGTCTACATATACAGCATCTTGCTTTAATTCTTCTTTTATTTATTTTTTGTTTTTTTTTTTATTTTTTTTTGTTTTTTTTTCTGTTAAATGCATTTAACATTGATTCTCGTTTTCATTTTCTCTCCGTTTTCTTATCCTAGTTTTATCATATTGCAAAGATTTTTTCCTCCGGCTTTTCATCCGGCTTTTATCATCCCGAAGTATTATAGAGATAACTTGTAACTGTAAAAATAAAATTACATTCGAGAGAGAGAGAGAGAGAGAGAGAGAGAGAGAGAGAGAGAGAGAGAGAGAGAGAGAGAGAGAGAGAGAGAGAGAGAGAGAGAGAGAGAGAGAGAGAGAGAGAGAGAGAGAGAGAGAGAGATTCTTCATATGACAATAGTAGAAGATAGTCATTTCCTCATTTGTCATCTTTGTGGCTCTCATTTTTCAGACTTTTAACCATTGTCCTACATAATCGAGTGCGCTCAATAAAATTTTCATTTCGGATACTCTCAATTGTACGATCAAGCGTTGCATCTTCGGTAATCTGGTATTGAGTTTCTCTAAGTCCTCCTATATAATAAGATTAAAAAAAAAAAAAAAAACAAAGAAATAAAACAATTTTATATTATAATTCATTCAACTTATCATTTAATTTACAATTTTCTTTTATATATACTCATAACTTTTACCTCTATTGTTGAAGGATATTTAGCAATTAGCAATTTTAATCTGTCTAATAAAAACTTCATCACGTTTTCTTCGACAATGGTATCTAAAGCACAATCAACATGTTTTAAATCAGTAACTTTATCCGATTTCAACCAATGGGTAAGTTCTATTTTTCTCATGTTAAAGACACGAAGAAATGCCAGAAGTGAATCCGAAATTGGTTCAGTGCCAGCTTTTAATAAAAAGTCACCGGTCGCCGGTAACCCTAATTTTTCTAAAAGCTCAATACGTTCTTTTCTAAGTGGATCTGATTTACTGATACCAAGAGGTAGTCTAACGCCATCCTAGAAAAATTAATATCATTTAGATAATTTTTCTTTTCTTTTTCTTTTTTTTTCTTAACATATTAAATCGTTTTATATCACATTTTAATTAGAAAATTTGATTATCTGCTAACAGATGACAACAATACCTTCGTATGTATATATATATATATATATATATATATATATATATATATATATATATTTAGATATGATTAGGAAATATTATAAGCAAGAAAACATCGGATCCGCATAATATGTTAATATGTTGATTTATGTACATACATATACATAAATTATCATTTCTTATATACCTTTTTATTTTCTAGACAAACGAATCCTGAATGTACTAGAAAATCGGAATTAGTTCTTGAACCATAACTGATGAATATCTGTTCTCCTTTTTTAAAATCTCTCATGGCATAACATTCGCAACAATCAGAAGTTGTATTAAAACCTGTAGTTATCTAAAAAAGAGAGCATTTTTTAGGTAAAATATTACTACATATGGTCTCGAGAGAGGGAGAGGAAAAGGGAGAGGGGGGAGAGAGAAATATATAGATATATAAAATGTTTATTTACCCTTCCTTCTTCATGATTACACATATCCCACATTGGTATCAAAGCATGTATCATACTGGATCCATCTTCACTTGGGATTAAATTTTGTCTTGTCATTACTGTAGAAACGGCCCAACTGAAAAAAAAGAGATACTATCATAATAAATATTAATAGTAAATATCGATATTTTTACATAAATTTATATTTTTATTTTATATAAAATTGTGTGTGTGTTTACGTAATTATACTATAATATAAAGATAATATAATATATACTATACATATATATTTCTTTATATTATAGTATATAGTAATATAGTATTATTTTAATTAATATTATATTATAATATAGCTATACACTATATATATATATATATACTATAACATAGATCTTTATCTTAATCTCTTTGTAAAGATTAAGATGACATACTATTTATATAAAAAAGAACATGGAAATATATATACATCATTTTTGAAAAGGAAGAAAAAAGAGAACATTCGTTTTCGGATTAGCGGAGCGAACTACTACTTTCCCCTTCGAAACGATCACAGGAAGGAGAATAATCATTTTACAGTCTCACGACGATCTTTTTTGTTTTTCTTTTTTTTTTTAAGAACTTGACCTAGATCACCGGAAATGGAAGTATATGATATATACATAAAAAGATTCATATCTGTTGGTGTTGCTTCGTCGTTTCCCTTTCGACTTTCTCTATCTCTTCAGGAAAAAGAGGTTCTCACTTCTTTGATCCTCATCTATAGTTTTTATATACATATTTATATATCTTTTATTGTAAGAATAACGAGCGTGCCTTTCTTGTCAATATAAATCAACTACATATTTACATATTTATATACATACATACATACATTTGAGAACATACACGGTAGTTGAAAAGATCGAGAGATACTACGTATCTTAATAAAAATGAATCTGTTATTAATCCTTTGATTGGCAACGTATTGATTTTAATATACATCTTTTAAAGATTTATATTTGTTCGAAATAAAAAACTTTTAATTACATATATATTAAAATTAAGTTCAGAAAGTTTTATGATTTTCAATCATTTTTTATATTTTTGTTGTTTTGTAAATACTTAACTTATCATCTTCGTTATTTTTTAATTTTGTCTGTTAATATTATTGTTATTGTAATATTTTATTATATATTTCTTATTATGATTACTATAAGTTAATTATATATACATAATTAGAATATCATATATTGCATAAGTAATTATATAAATATTATAATATAACGTCCTATATGTATGTATATATATATACATATATTATTTCAATAATTATTATGTATTTATAATAATAATAATATTATTATTATTTAATCTTTATATTTATATAAAAATATATAATCATAGTAATCAGAGGAATAAATTAGAATTATTATGAATTTCATAGTTCAAATTAATTAAGGCCTTCTTCACTAAGCAAGATGTTCAATGAGGAGTAGGAATAAAAAGAGAAAGAAAAAGAAAGAAGGGAAAATTGTAGGGACAATGGTGAAAAAGGAGAGGAGAGTCTCGACGTCATCAGTTGGTATTTGCAGCAGGGATAGGATGGGGATGCACACTTGAGTGCACGTGGGAAGGTCGTGAGATCTTTGCTACGCGTACCAAAGCGTACTTTCTCCCAAGGAGATGATGCATCATCGACAACGATGATACTGAACTGAACGTGCGAGTGAATGAAGAAATAGCAATTTCAAATATCAATAATAATAATAATTATCATATAATAAAAAAATATAAGAAAAAATATATCATATAATAAAGAATTTTTTCGTTGACAATCAGATTCATTGAATTAAAAATGGAGACAATTAGTTTCATTTCTTTTCTTTTTTTTAAATGTGACTTTCTCTTTTGCAATTTCATCTTAAATATATTTAAATTTCATATGTTTTGTAGAAAAAAAATCAGATTACTTAATTCTAAAATAAAAAATTAATTAAACAAATTTAATTTATAGAAAAATTAAATTCTAGAATATATTACAACAAATATGAAATTCATGAAATTAAAAAAAAAAAAATAAATAAATAAATAAATAATGTAAAAATATTAACAAATGAAATTCAAATCCACTCGAGAAATATATTACAAATATTAAATTAAAAAGAAAAAGAAAATTATAAATATTAATCAAATTCAAATTAAATGTAAACAAATTTAAATCAATTTTTTCAAGAGATTTTTTAGAGATTGCTTTAACACGATAAATGCTTTAATATTAATATTGAAATATATTATTATTTCTCATTATAAAGAAAACATCTTATATACTGAATATATATATTTTTATATTTAATATATATATATTTTTTTTTATATTTAAATATATATATATAATTTTTATATTTATTTAAATATAAAAATATATATATACTAAAAATAGTAAGTAAAAGTTTTCTTCAATGTTTGTATAAAAAATGGAACGAACTTTTGCATCAACCCAATATATATATTGTATGTGTGTATATGTATATATACATATGCATACATGTCCACAGGATAAAGATTACATTTTTATAAATATTTAGTTACATTTCGATGACATTAATATTAAAACGTTGGACGATTTTATCTTATTATTATTATTTTCAACTAATTGTGAAAAGGAAAAAATGATGCTCCTTTTTTCTCATCCTCTTTCTCGTAACCAGCAGAAACGTGTGTGAAAAGTGAAACTCGATGTATAAGTACGTACAATGAAGAATTAATAAAGAAACATGTATAACACGCGTGTATGAAACAAAAGAGTAAAATAGGATGAGTTTTACTCTGTTTGTAACAACGAAAGTCGTATTAATTATTTCGAAGTGTAAAATTATATGATTTTCTCTCTTTTTCTCCTTTTTCGAATCCTATATTATATTTTTGATCTTCAACGTAGATATCTATTAAAAATATATTACGATTGAAATTAAAATAATGTTTGAATAATGGAAAGAAACAAACGAATGAATTATTTAATCGTGGAACGAAGTATTTTTTTTTATAAATATACTTCACTTGAATAGGAGTATTTAGGAAAAAAAAAAAAAAAAAAAAAAAAAAAAAACAAATAATGTATTTATTTATTCTTTCATCACATAAAAAAATGTAGATCTTAATCTTCGAATAGTAAGAAAAAGTACATACTGTATCTGGTAAGAAGATAAAGAAGAAGATTGTGCGTTAAGAGAACGTTTAGATCGCAGACTCCTCTCCTCTCGAATTTCACCGGCTTACTTTAGCAGCAACCGCAGAGAAAACTCTCGTCAGTCGACAAGAACGATTTGTCCAGTGTGGGCGGACATTTCGTTTACGTAAAAAGACAAGAAACTAACAAAATCAAATATACACATGCACACATATTCATATATATGTATATATACGTGTAGTGTATTTTGTGATAAAAAGATTACTAAAAAAGAAACCAGGAACAAATTTTTTTAAAACTTTTTTTGTAATCTATCAGTGATAGATCCTAAAAAAGAAAATAAAAAGAAAAAAGAAAAGTGACAATTCAATAAGTAATATATATATATATATATATATATATATATATATATTGTTTATTCAATTAATTAAATAATAGCAGATAAATAAATGTTTTTGTATTTGTTTTGAGATCGAATGAACTTCATTTTGGGCTTGTGTAATCGAAAAAACGTGATTTTTGTAATTCTGTGTATAACCGCTATAACGATACATATCTTGGACTATGCAGAAGAGGATCATTCTATTTTTATCGATCGCGAACATCCTGTATCTTCCAGGTTGTCGTTCAGTTCACGGAGAAACGACACTGAACAGGCCAGGAATCGAAGATATTGTGATCGAGGATCATGTGGTAAGAAAGTTAAAGAAAATGTAAAAAGATAATAAAAAAGAAAAAAAAAGAAAATAGAAAAAAGTAGAACCGATTCGCCTAGATTCACTGAGTGCGAAGCATCGAACGGAAGTATTCATTTAGAAGGAGCACAAATGCGAGTCCTTTGATGTGTATTCTTATTCTCGAGAATAATTTACGAACTTGAGACAAATTATATTATGTCATTTATGAAAATCGACTAATAATGTCGTTTCGATTCGAATTTTTAATCGAAATTTTTTAAACCTTTTTGATTTGTTACACATACATATGACAAATATTTCTGAAAATCTCGAAATTCTGAATAATTATCGAATTTAATAATAATAATTATCATCAAGGTTGAATAATATATTGTTCGTATAAATGATTAGTGTCGTTCCGATACTAATTTTTAATTGAATTGTTCCACATTTCTTTTTTTTTATTACATACATATGCACACACATGTATAATATATATATAATTAAAATTTATTGAAATTTCGAAATCTCTTTTTTAATGCAAATAGTTATATCTTCGTTTTTTTATAATTTTGAATAATAAATTGTATAATAATAATAATAATCATTATCGTCATTGTAGTTTCTCGGATTTCACGCGATCGTAGAAAAGCGAAAGGTATAAATACATACGTATATATACATATATATATATATATATATATATATATATATATATATATATATATATGTTAAAGTGTGTTTGTAATGTACGTAAGAGGAAGGAACCACTTCGTTGTCATCACGTATCGTAATTAGCAAAGAGACGGCTTGAGAAAGTGTAGGACATTGCTACGATGGGACGAACGACCACGATGTAACAATCGGTAAACCACAAGATAGAAAGATAGATAGAAAGATAGAAAGAAAGAGAGAAAGAGAGGGGAAGAGAAAGCTGGTAGCTGGTAAAAATTCGAGACTACGAACATTTTGTCACCATTAAATGATCCCGAAGAAAATGAACATATTTAAGAGAAAAATCCTTTTCTATCTAACGCACGTTAAGTGCCAAATCGTAGAGAAAATTTGTGTTAAAAATTTTTCGGAATTTCTTTACAGACGTACGTGAGAATTTCATTTTACCGATCGAAAATAAAATCAAATTTTAATGTACAAAATTATTAAAAATGTTATAATGAAATTTTTCAGCAAGATAGAAACAAATATCGAATTCGAAGATTTAATATAAACAAATATAATAATAAAAGTTTTACACATTTAAAAAAAAAAGAAAGAGACAAAAATAGATATGATAATATCAATAATAAAATAATATCAAAATGTTTCGCATACTAAAACAAACAATGAATTGGAATTATAAAAATATAGAATACAAAAATATTAAATTAAAAAAAAAAAAAAATTATTACGGTACTGAATTTACTAGTTTACACCTTTCATAGCCTTCTCTCGCATTTTCGGCGTTCGATCAGTTGGAACGAAATAAACTAGCGTGCAAAGTAGTTACCAGAAAATCTATTGAAAAATTAAAAGAGAAAAAAGGAAAAGAAATATGTGATTAAAAAGAGAACGGAAAAAGATTTCATAAATAGTTTCGTTCGATACGAAAATATGAAATAAAGATCTTCGAAAAAGATCTTTTAGAGAAACGATCTTCTTCCTTATTTTCTTTCCTTTCGATCTCACGAAATAAGAGACGACGATGGATGCGTAGTTCCGCTTTAAAAAAAAAATAAAAAAACTCATTAAAAACACATGTATGCATGTAAGAACGAACACATCGTCGGGCGCGTTAACGATCGCACTTTCTTTTTCGTATGGTCGTTGAACTTTGATCGTTATTTGCGTTTGCACAGCTCGTTTCGCCGCACTTACTCGCATGACTTACGATGTAGTAATTGGAGCTCTAATTTAACCTCAAAAAAGAAAAAAAAATTTTTATATTAAAAAATGGTAAAAATTTTATTATCAATCAATTATTTTACTTATTTCAAATGTAATTAATTGATTCAAATAATTGTCAGATACTTATGATTTTTTCTCTCCTAAAAAAAAAAAAAAAAAAAAGAGAAAAAACGCTATTAATATTATAAACATAATTACGTTATAAAAATTATTACAATAACGAACACGGTAAAAATTATTATAACCACTATTTAAGATGTTTTCAAAAATAAGTTCCTCGTATTTCATGAAATTACGTTAACAAGCAAACTAACGAGTACAATGTTTCTTAGGTAAATCTCTGAAAGACATAGTAGTTGACAATGAGTATAAACGGATGTGTCTCGAAGCGTATATTTCACTTTCTTAGGGGGAAATCGTGGAAACGAGAAGATTCTGGATAAAAGAAAAAGTTTATTTTAGATCTTCCGATCTTTTGTAACTTTTTAACAGGAAATATATAATCCACAATAATATGTAAAAACATTTAAAAAATGATCGGAAAATTTAAGAATTGTAAAGAAAATTATTATCTTTTTTTTTTTCAGAAGGCAGATACAAATAATAAGGATTCGTATCTTCCTAGAGAAAAGTCAAGCGAATTACTCGGAAAATGGAGAAACAATGGCGAAGCTTTGGAACCGAAATGGCGTGACGGTGATGCTGTACCTTTGCTTCCATTTTCTCACTTTGCACAAACCTATACTCAAGAGGAAACCGATTTAACAGGACATAATAAACCCTATGACGTAGTTTATCGAGATAATCTTAATTATCGTCAACTCAACGAGAATCAAGGAGGAAACGATTACGCTGATTCACGACAAGAAAGATTTCCTCTTCCTAAAGATTCGACGATACGATTGGAAGAAAGAAAATATGGAAGACAATCGCGCGGGAAAATTGAACACGTACCGGTTGAACGTCTTTCGAAAGATAAATTTCTTAGAAACGATCGAATGACTTCAACTGGATATCGTGATGCTTTTCAGGTTCATCCAAATGAGTATGAACATGATTTAGCCGACGAAGAATATTTAAAACCTCGACCAAGAAAAAGACGTCCACCCCAGAACGAAGAATTCATTTTAAGTGCTAAAGAAACGATACATAATAACGAAAGAATAAAATTGGATTCTATTTTATCATCTAATGAAAAAAAAGACAAAGCATCTTCAAAGAAAATTGAAGCTATAAAATCTTTGTTAAAAATGCAACAAGAAGAAGGTGTTAGTCTTTCAGAAATATTACATCGTAAAAATTTGACTCTGATAGATCTGTTAAAAGGTAAAGCAGATGTGATCAGTGCATTAAAAATGAAAGATATCGATGAAATTGGTGATGATATCGAACAGATATCTTTGGCAATGACAAGCACATTGGCTAAATTACCGTCCACGACCCTTCAAAGTATACTTGACACGACGACGACTAAAACAATTACCACGATGGGTCATGTGTCAACGAAAATTTCACAATTGAAAGAAACTACTACTGAAACTTTAGCAGCAATTTCTCCATCAGAAATCTCTATCGATTTGAATCAAAGCGATGATAAGACGAACCAAAATCTAAATACAACGCGCGAGATCTACAGTGATGAGAATCATGATGAAATCATGGAATTTTCAGACTTTACAGATTATAAAAAGGGAAGAACTACTGCATCACCAATTTGGATTTCTTTAATAACAGAAAATAATGCTATCGTTCGTTCTATGCAAAATATTAATCTAAATCGTTCTGATAGAGGTTCCACCTTGAGTATCGTAAGAATTTTGAATCCGACTGTCGAGACATTTACTACAAAAAATTTAGAAAAAAACAAACCATTTAATAAAGTATATACTGATACTATACACAAGGAAGATAATTCTAATTTAGCTGTAGCAGAAGATCATTTCGATAGTATTTCTGAAGCAGATTATCAATATGATGCTCCTTTGAATGATATGCGACAAGATGACGAGATACGTGTGTCCTCTTCGATAAAAAAGAATGAATGCATAAATGATAGTGATAAAGATGAAACTATATATTTAGAAAAAGATAAAGATCGTTCAAAAGATTTTTTATCAAAATCCAAAAACGATTCATCCTTCGAAGAAACAATCAAAACTTTCTTCAAAAACCATCCTAATGTAGAAGATGTGATGTCAGAAGGTAAACGTTACGAAGATATCATGTCAGAAATAGAACCAGAAGCTCGTGCTGAGATTTTTGAATTATTTGCTTCTGGATCTGGGGGTAAGAATCTGGAACGTTTGTTGAAGTCTAGGAACATGACTTTGGAAGAACTGATTGCTTTACGTCAAAGAGGTTCCAGTAAAGTTCATTTAGCAGAAGTATCTCGTTTGAGAAATCATAAAGCTTTAAGAATATCAGAAGATAATCAATTATCAGAGAAAAAGCATCTTCATAATCCTGAAGAAAAAAGTATAATTGATGAACTTCGAAATGAAACGATTGGAATAAAGAAATTGATGAATGAAACAGAACACATTGATATTTCGCAGATCCATCCGAAACTTATTAAGGAAATGACAGAGTTTTCATTTACCACAGAGATTAGTTTTAAAACAAAAAATTATAGTAACGAAAAACATGAAGATCCAAATCATTTAATAAAGATCACAGAATTATTTAATACCTTTACATCTTTGTCGTTTGATAAAGATCAGGAACAACGAATTTCTAAAAATATTGAAGAAACATTAAATAAAAAAACCATAGACGATGAGTCGATTAATATTGTTCAAAGTGATTATGCGAAAGAAATGATTCAAAATAATACTGAAGTAGATATAAATGTGATATACAAGGGATCTATAAACGAAGTGAAACACGACGAAAATGAAGATCGGGGAAAAAGTTTATCAAAGATTAAATCTAGTATAATAGCTAGTGGGGCTATACTTGGTGTAACGATAGTCGTATTCTTTGCCATCTTTATAGCTTGTAGAATACGTCATAAACAAAAATATAGGTACAGAAACTCTTTTCCACGAACGGTATTTCAGAGTCCAATAGCAACAGCCAGAAAGTTATCCAATACAAGTAGCCTGAATAATATCATGGTGAGTGTAGTTGCCACTTCGACGACAAAGAGATCAGAAAAAAATGATTCACAGCAAAATAATAGTGGTGACTATGATCCCAAGTGTGACATCGATAATGATTCGCTCGATGCTAATGATAGTTGGGAAACTATACCTGATTATATAAAATGAGACAACATAGTTTCTTTTTAATTGAAGTACGTATTTTCATTTGAGATTTATTTGTGGTTAAAGATCTAAAACAAACATGCAAACTGACACTGGACAAAGGCTGATATAAAATTGATGTAAACTTTTTAGTATTCTTTTTTGTGCAATGGACATGGATATTCGACAAAAATTTATACAAAATACTTATGAGCAGTAAAGCAAACTCATATTAGATGTTTTCAAAAGAACGAAAACATCAAGTTCATTAATATGTTATAAATATGATCACGATGTCAATCTCATCTCTTCTCGTTCTTTAGTTATAAATACATGTAGACGTAATGTATTTATTTATGATTTAGTATGTAATATAAAATATTTTTGTAAAAAGATCAGTCTGTATAATCACCCTTCTTATGTCAGTATCTAAATTTAAATAATATATCTAGATAATTTACTCACATATAATCGTCATAAGAAAAAAAATCCCTGAGCAAATTAGATACTGCATCGTTTCCATTTTGAAAAACTCTATTAAAATAAGTGTATTGTCGTGTAATATTTCTGACTTGTTTCAAAGCAGTTTCTGAAAAAAAAGAAACCAATTTTAAATATATTGTTATGAATATTTCTTGTTTAATCAGACATTTTATACAAAAAGAGTTTACCTAATGTTAGACTGCCTTTAAGCTCCTTCATTTCAAGCAGATTCATATAGAGTACTGTATTATAACTAGTGGGAAGAATATCAAAATAAGATTTCCATTTTGAATTTTCTTTATACTTTTCAATGAGCAAAGCAATGGCTAATGCCACTTGTGGCATTTGTTGTATCAATGGATCACGTTGAAAACTTTCTAACTCAGGGGCAGCTGTTTGAGTACTAAATATAAGTTTCCTAGGTATTTCCAAAATAAGTTCATTCTCTAAAAAATCACGTTCTGCCCTTAGACCTAAGTCGTATCCTGTAAATCCAACTATACTTGCTCCATCTACGTTAACATCATTCTCTTTCAGCCAGCTCATGAATTGTCCAACCCCCCGGGATTGTTTTGATAGCTTTGTCTTCATCGGTTGTAAATAACTAGTGTTGTAGGTAATTAGTATTAAACTTGGTGTGATATTCATATAATAATCCCATAGCTGTGTGTCATACGCAGGATCGCAGCTCACTAAACAAATTAATTAAAATAAATATTACTATTTCTCATTACCATATAGTTTACATAAGATGTACAGATCATCATTGTATTAACTTCAATAGTTTATAAAATTTTATGATTCACAAATAAATAATATATATATATATATTACGTATATATGCATATAGATATATATGTTAATGAAAGAATATTGTGTGTAAATAAATCATTATACTGTTGTTGTTAGAGAGAAAGAAAAGATGATTTAAAAGTTTGTAATTTCAAATATTTTAGTTTTTATATCAAAATATAATTTACCCCAGTTATTGGACAAGAAATTGCTTAATCCGACGATAAGTATCGCAAACGTTGATCCCCACCCTCGTGTGACCTGATAAAGTAGACTATCGCGATAAAGTCGTACCACCAAATTCAAAGTCAGACAAGGCTCGTGGTATTTTACTCACTGTGAAAAACTTGGTCGCACAAAGCATTGAGCTTTTTTCTCGCTTTCACCACCGACGTTTGTCTTTGATGATAGTTCTGCTTCGAAGAAGAATGAGACTTCTTTTTGTTCATCTTCGTTCTATTTCATAGCACCTTGTAAGATCTCTTCGCATTCAGACGCATTATAATGCGTAATCCGTGCACCCACTTTCGGTAAGAATAAACACTTTTCCTTCATACAAAAATAGAACGCCAGTAGTTTCACCTTCTAATGTATTTCAGAGACCATAACCTCGAAATTTTCCAGCCGCAGCAAGAACACCAACGGCGGAGATTTCTGAGATATCATGGAGGGCTCTGTCGCACTATATTGATTTTCATTCCTACAAGAGTAAATTAATTTTTCTCGTTAATTTTGACGATCATTTTTTTTCAATCTGCATTCATCTTATCTTTTTTTTATCTATATAGTAAAAATGATCATATCATTCTAGAAGATCGAATTTCATCAATATGGATTGTCAACAATCCATATCTTTTTTAGAAATTAAATGCATTCGCCATTTTTAGATCCCATCATTTTAGTGTCTTGTTATATCACTCAGTTAATTATTTATGAAAAACGATAACAAAGTGCACAATATTAATTAACTATCGAAATCCTCATGAGATATTTCGTATTAACTTATTGATAAATCAAATCAAACGTACGAATGAATCCAAATGGTTAATTCTTATTCTTTGTTAATCCTACTGGATAAAGTTCTCTTTTAAAATCTTCTTATTTATTTCTTATAAATGAAATGAAACATTGTATATTAGTGTAAGGAGATTATTTTTTTATATGGTATAACTTGAAATAACGTATATAAGGTTGTGCAGATAAATGTTCGATATTTCTTTTCAATTTGTATCTAAGAAAATTTTCTAGAAATATACAGGTATTGTTATAGTAATTAAACATTTACATTAAGGGGTCTCCAAATTATTAATCTTTTCAAAGTATAAATATATATATATATATATATATATATATATATATATATATAAAAATCATAATTAAAAGATTCATAGCATTTTCTATTGAGACTATGCACCATTTTACATTATATAGTAATTGATATTAATAAAAAAATATTTAATATTTCTAAAAAAATGTAAACCTCAAAATCACATGACGCGTTTCAAATTAAAATTCCTTAACGGATTCAAACTTTCCAACTCATGGAATATATTAAATTATTTTTTTATTTACAATATTCCAAAAAAAAAAAAAAAAAAAAAAAAAAAATAAAGAAAAAAAAAGAAAAAAAAACAAGAATAGGTAAAAATAGCATCGCAATCATGTTGAATGAATGTGATAGAAGAATACAGAATATTAATTTTGTTACATATATCTATAATTCTGTTTTGATAAAATCTTGAACTCTATTATTTTTGTTTACATATATGTCAATTCACAAAATTTTTCTTACAAAGAGGAGCATATATAAAGAGCCCCCTTAATGTTACTCAATCATTAAGATTTCTGTATAATTAGACTGTTACAGTAAAACAGTAATAATTTGAATTTTCACGCTGCAAAGCAAAACAAATTCATTGCAACAAAAAATAACCGCAATGAATAAAACAACAATGTAGCTGTATTAAAATAATAATCAATAACATTCAACTGCAAACCTTATGCATTAATTTGTCTGTTTTAAGAACAAAAAGAGCAAGTTCTTAAAACAGTTATGCGCAATATTATTTTGCATAAAACAAATAACACTATGTTTTCTCGAGTTATTTAATACTAAGTACTGATTATAAATTTATTTTACTTATATTATTTATTTTTTTTTTTTTGTTATAATAAAAGGAAAGAAAAAAATAAAGAAAGAATAGGACTGGATAGAATACCACAATTTATAAACGTATTTAGATATTCATTGGAAACTTATAACTATATAATTTGTACTGAGTACAGATCAACCGCAATAAGCTTCTTTTATATTATTTATATTGCTTATGCACAGTGCAGCGAAATTAGAATTATATTACACATTCTACAAAATTACTTGTCAATTTCGCCATAGCTTCTTTGCAGCGGAAAACTCGTATCTTAACTACTAAAGATACAATTATGATAATAATAATAATAATAATATATATACCATTATTTTATACAACCTAATTTCTAAATAGAGCCTTACAGACCGACCACAATGATTAGATTTGTCCTGCTACCCCAAATAGAAAATCAACATTATATTATATACTTTGAAACGATTTGCTTCTTTCATATGATTTTATATTTTTTAACCGAAGTTATTATATTGAGAATAGTCTTGCAGATTCGTAGAAATTAAAAAATTTTCTACTCGCCAACTTTAAATAAAATTTCTTAAAACTGTACCGTCACTCTTTGGCTCCGAGTGTTCGTTTTCTTTAAATGATCGATTTAATATTCATGCAGACCTTTATGCAAATTAACTTGGATGACATTAACACAGGTACACATCACAGCATCTTTGATAAGCTGTAATTACTTTAACATTCTTGTGCAGATAAAAAGTGCGATATATAACTGCAACCTATAAAAGCCAGAATTTGTCATTTAATTGTAAAAATGTATACAAGAGTACCAGTATCACGTAAAATTTTGATTTAATAAGATAAAATATTACGTGATAAGAAGGCCGTTCTTGTATTCGTTTATCACAAAATCTTTATCCATGGCACTGTGCCTCTGATAGCTGTACAATGTACCAAACACGTTGCGAGAGAGATATTTGTTGAAGGCTATAAAACTCACATAAATATATAAATTATTTCTCATCCAAGTTATAAACATTGTAATTGGTTGTGCAAACACTATAGAGTCAAATTTACAAAACTTTTAAACACATACGCGTGTCAAGTAATTTGTGTTTCTTTTACATTTGTTCTTCTTACATTTATATTTTCTTTGTTACACATTTTATATCTTATCTTTATTTATTGTGTAGTAGTATCAGAAATGCTCTGTCGCCATGTGGCGTGGAAGGGTATCTTTAGTATTTTAACACGTGTCTTAGGTAATGCAGTTAAAAGAAGTTTTTGAAGTTGTGGTAATGGTAGAATATCGACTTGTGGACTCGTCATATTTAACTGTTTATCTTCACCTATAAACAAAATGAAAATTTTATTTGATTTGAATTAATGTAAATCTTATCTATCAAAATTCATACCAGTAACATAATGAAATGAAAATCTTCACAATCGTTTAAATATTTCAACATACCTTTTTGGTTATCATTTTCATCCTCGACATCTTCGATTAATTTTAAACAGGGTACTGGTTTCAAAACTGGTATAGAATCGCCAGTAACCTGTTTGTTCATCAAATTGCACTGGTCAACAAATAATTCTGTAACTCTTAACAATTCAAGAGTTACGCCCCAAACAAAATGTGTTAAATTATGTGACAATTCGGTAACACCACCTAATACCATGTTATTTGAAGTAGCTGATTGTGATATGTAGGTCGGTATAATCAATAACCTCTTAATATTTTTACAATTAGCAAGACACTTATCAAAACCATTTTTTACATCGAAATTAACTAACTCCATTTGGTTTAAATTTTCCAATTTCGAAACACCTTCTAAGATGTCAAATGTACAACAAGATCCTTGACCCTTTTCAAGTCGGAGGCGTTCCAGTTTTTGTAATTTTATTAAAACAGATGTTCCAAACTTATCTGGAAAATCTGAACACTCCCCTAATTCTAATGTTTCTAAATTTATTAATGTCTGTATTATATCAATTTTCTTCTTTCCAAGTTCCTTAACTGATGTTAAACTCTACAAATAATTATAATAATTGAATAAAAAATCGATAATTATACAAGTGCATCATAGGACAATAATTTGAATGACAACTTACCAATTGTGTTAATTGTGTTAATTCTTTTATTGGTGTAAGATCTTCTTGCAAAGACATTCCACTTATTGCTTTAAGTCTTAATTCTTGGCATTGTTTAAGATTACCAACAGATTGTAAATTTAAAGAATCACATTTGATTGTCATTGCACTCAATACTTGTAATTGCGGGCAATTTTTAATGACTTCTTCTACCACCATGACAGGGCATCTACATAGCTCTAATTTAACAAGGCTTGTCACTCTAGGTATTACAGATAGAAACTTTCTCCAAATACTATCTGATTCTCCAGCTACAAGCATTTTCCTGAGATCCAAATGCTGTGTGCCATGTCTTTGCAACGTATCTGCTAAACCATCCCAATCTGTTACTTGGCTATTCTTCATCCTTACTGTTTTCCATAAAGAAGGATGTGCAGCCAAATCTCGCCACATTTTACAAACACGAGCTGCACGTAACAATTCTTGCACCTTGAGATATTGAAAAATTCGTAATAATGCATGATAACCCGCACATACATTATCCATAAAGTGATGTTGTAGATTTGACTCCTGTTGATTCTGTTTTCTTCTGTAAACATCAAAGTAATTGTTTGATTAGTTAAAATATAAACTCATTGATATTATTGCTTATTATAATCTGAATACACTAGCTATATATATATATATATATATATATATATATATATATATATATATATATATATAATCTTATTCGCTAGATTATATATACTACTAGTATGTATATACGTATATACGTTCATATAAATATGTATTATACATGAATACATATGAAAGCAACAACAAATATGGAAAATACCATGTTATTAATATTCTAGTTTTTTTTTTAATATATATGCTTATATACATAAGCTGCCAATTCGTAAATATCTTTTCATGTGTAATAAATGACATTTTATATAAAATACATAAAAATTCGTAAAAAGAATGTTCTAGAAATATAGACGATAATCTGATTGTATTACACGGTAGTATCTTAAAATGATGATAATATATTAAATTAAAAAAGTTAAATAAAAAAAAATATATATGAAATACAGGATTGATAGAGGAGAAGGACATAGGACAATTTTTTGGGAAAACGCACTAAGATTTTTTTTGTGTTTCGGCTCGCACATGTCTTTATATCTGTAAATATAAAAAGTAAAAATGAATTAGATTTTTTTTTAATGAAGCACTTATTAATAGCTGAATCTATAATTGTAGTATTAATGTAAGGAAACGTTATCTATAACCAATATACATACATACATACATACATACATACATACATACATACATACATATATACATATATATATACATATATATATACATATATATGTATATATATACATATTACCAAATTATATTTTTCAATATTATAAATTTTTCGCAAAAAATCATTTGTTTTAAATAAATATAATAAATTTTATTTTACGAACTGAGCGATTAATTATCTCTTATTTTTATATTTTGATACTTTCTTAATATCTTCAATTGGATATTTTGTAAATTCTAATCTTTACTTTAATACTACAATTATAGGGAACCCACAACGATCAGATTACATGATCATTGTTTTTTTTTGGTTTATTTCTTTTTTGTTTTCTTTCTTTTTTTTTCTTTTTTTATCTTTTCTTTTTTCTTTTCTTTTCTTTTTTTTTTTTTTTTTTTTTTTTTTTTCTTTTTTGGTCGAATATTAGTCAAGATTTTGGCTGCATTTCTAAGAAGCTAAGGCAGTGTGCTTCGATCATAAGATAAAATCAAATTCATTTTTTATATAGAAGTTTTATATTTGCAAATATAATAAACACCAGTATATATTGCATTTACAATTTTACACAAGCAGCTTCGATATACCAAGTATATAAATAATAATCTACTTTGTATAATCCTTATTTGAAACATAATTGAATCTACTAGTTCCCTCTCTCGCTGCATTGTATAAATATGCATTATTATAAATTATTTCGATGCACATTAAAGCTTTTTTATTAGAAGCAACTATATATATAATATTTAAGAAAATCGTATAAAGATAGACTACTGATGCCATTATGTTCTCATTGTTGTTTTGTAAAGGCATAGCATACTGATCTTGTAAATACAATATGTACAAAGCAACTGCCAAAACCTCAAAAGAGAGTTGCCTTAAATTATAACTTATTCATAGGACAAGCTTAACAGAATAAAGTAAAATAAGAATGCCTCTGCTCATATGTTTTAAAAACACTTACCTATTACCCATCTGCATTATATTCGCATTAATTACTATTTGTTTAATATCTGTTCTATTCATTTCACTGTCTATACCAAATGTACTTATATTATTTTGTATTGCCATTGAAGACATTGGTTTTTTAATAGGTGATCTAGTACTCATTCTTCTTGTTTCAATCGATGAATATGCTTTTGTATTAAAAATTTGATTTTCTAATTGTGTATTCATATTGATCGAAGTATTTGTATTGATATTACTGTCCATTTCATTCGTGTCATCAGATCCATACGAAGCAGAAACGTCCTTAGACAATTCTTTATCATAAACACTTTCAGTCATATCATTGGCACCAGATATTTTTTTCGAAGATGAAACACTTGTATTTGTAATGGTTGAATTTTCCATTGTATTGGATATGTCAATTAAAGAATTTTCCTGTAACATTGGTGGTTTGTCACCAATTTTATCAGGTTTTACTGTAATTGCTGGTTGAACTGCCATAGCATTATTCTTTGGTACAACTATATATCTTTTGCCTCCCATCAAAGCAATATTTTGCGCTGGTTTTGGTAATATTCCATCATGACTTTGCAAAAATTCATTCTCTGATTGAGGAAACCAAGTATCCTCTTTTTTCTCCGACAGCGAAGTTGAACTTGTCATTGTTGCTGTTTTAGAAAATTTACTAGTACTACGTGACTGTATATCCACATTCTCTGATTTTGGAATTCTTTGTAATTTTGGTGGAGTTAAGCTTGTTTGTGGCTTTTGTTTTGCATTTTGCGTGCCTAACATGCTGATTGGAATCAACGGAGGTGGTGTTAAAGATGGATTCATTGATTGATGTTGATGAGTTTCTGTAGAATCTTGTTGACAATTCTACAACACAAATAGAGTTACAGGGAATTAAAAATAAATAAAATATATAAATATAAAAATAATTATATTTAAAAATAATTCTACATTTCTAAAATACGGAGATATATAGAAATATACACAACATTGATCATGTCTTATTTATTATTACAATATAGTTAATAAATACCTACCTTACAAATATAATCATCACTTCCTGAAAATTCCAAGCCATCTACGCACTCAGGATGATATAAGCAAAGGCATACGCGACACTGTAAACTGGGAATCAGTCCCATACTTGTTGAACATCTTATGCTGCATGGTTCTTGAACTTTGGGCCTGTAAGATGTGCGTTGATAGGGGGAAAAAGTGGAAGGAGAATGTAAAATAGATAATAAGGATTTATGGGATATAGAAAGAATTGGATAAATATGTAGTATTATGAAAATTATAGAAGGTAATTGCTTCTAAAACATATGCCCTGCCTTATATATATTAATATATATATATATATATATATATATATATATATATATATATATATATTCACAACTCCTAATAATATTTTCCAGTTGCGTGATGTAAATTAACTAAATTATGACAGTTTTGTAAATTTCTAAAAAAAAAAAAAAAAAAAAAAAAAAAAAAAAAAAAAAAAAAAAAAAAAAAAAAAAAAAAAAAAAAAAAAAAAAAAAAAAAAAAAAAAAAAAAAAAAAAAAACAGTTCAACTGTATTTTTTATTAATCCTAAATTCACCCAGCTTCATAGAAAATCGATCGAAAATAGGAATTAAATAATTTGTATAATGTAATCATCATTAAAATTGTACCGTATGATTTTCCTGAAATTTTATTCAGAACTCACTTTTTTGAGAAAATCCTGTATACGATCATTAAAAACAACGTAAATTTCTTTTATTTATATCGAACTGATATATAAAAGAAGAAACATACTTATCAAATAAATACACATTACATTCACAAAAATCGTTTACGTAAAATGTAAAGTGTACTTACGTTAATAATCGTTTGCTTTTAACAGGTGGTGCTTTTTCCACTAGCTGTTGACTTCTTCTTGTACTTGCCGCATTTCGTTGTGGCGGTAACATCTCTCTCTCCTCTGATGATGTTTTTATTTCTGCTATGCATTGTTCAAAGAGAACAATTGTGAGAATATTTTTATAATATTTGATATAATTTATAAATGTGCCAGAAGTCTAATTTATCTATAATATAGAAAGAAAAGTAATATTTTAATCTCCTATATAAATAGATACATACTTATTTGTGGAGTTTTCTTTGCAGGCACTTTAACTTTGAAACTACTAGCTGCTTTTGGTGATTTAGCAGGAGTTTTTGCTGATGTAGTTGATACTGCTGTTTGTGGAACAGCTACTGCTGGTGCAGGGGATGATGCTGGAGCATGTTCTTCGATAGGTTTACGTGTAGGCATAACTTTCTTAGTACCAAAAGATCTTCTTGGTGGTGTAGGTGCAGATCCTATTGAACCCTGCAATATACCCAATACTTCTAGTTCAACTCGATATATAGAAAGAAGTAATTTATTTAAATAGAATATAATAAAAGAATAATAATTTACCCTTATCCTTTTAGCATCTCGAATTATTTCTTTTTCAGGATCATCTAAGCCAATAGGTTCTTTGAAGAACGTAAAATTATCTATTGTTAATTCTCTTGAATGAACTACAATAAAAAAAGAAAAAAAAAAAAAAAAAGAAAAAAAGAAAAAAGGAAAAAAGAAAAAAAGAAAAAATAAAATAAAAAAATAAAATAAATAAAAAAAGAAACAAAAAACATAAAAAAAGAAGAATTAGTGAAAGAATTGTAAATATAAAGTGCATTAATTTATACAAAAAATATTGATTTTTCATATGAATTAACTTACGGAATTCTGCAACTTCTCTAAAACTTCTTACTTTTTTTCCCTTTGGTGTATAATAATATATGTCAGCCATTCGTTTAAGGCTAGAATCATTACTAGCTCTGAATACCAGTTCTCGTTTCCACCCATACTTGAATGGTTCCTTAAAAGCTGGATTTGACATATCTATTGCTGATTTTTGTTTTAGCGCACTCCCTGGACTTGCACCACGCGATAACCGACCCCCTTTAGATTTTAATGATATTGCAGACGGACTACTGGTTGTAGATGATGAATTTACAGACTTAATAGATGATTCTTCGGTTTTCTGCTGTTCTATTTCTAATTCTATACTATTCGCTATACCGATAGAATCTGTATCAGATTCTCTTTCTTTTTTGATTTTATCAATATCAAATATTTGTTCCATATCATATATAAGCATTTTATTTTCATCAGAGTCTTGATCGTCATCCTTTTTACCATCAAAGTTCCTTTTTGGCACCAAATACCTACAGCGTTTCGTAAGTTGAGCCTCTGCAATTTCTGCCTCAGCTATAGGCAGAAAGAAAAGATAGATTCAAATAAGGAAATAAGATCAAGACGATCTAGTTACAAACAAGCATAAAACATTAATAACCCTTTGTTCATCATTTGTTAAAAGTCAGGATTGCCCGAAAAAAAGAAAAACAAAAGAAAAAGAAAGAAAATGATATTATTAAATATAAAAAAGAAAGTTTACCGATAAGCTTTTTTAATACATGACTTCCCGTTTCGAGTTCATCGACTTCTTGTAAATCGAATCCATTAAACTCGGTGGATTCCTCAGAACTAGCATCGTCAGGTTCCGAAAATTTACGCTTTCGTCCACCCCTCGTTGTGGAAAGGCTAACATCGTTCTCGATACTACTCGTTGAATTGGCCTTGAACTTGCGCAATTTAGTTTTGATCGTCGTCGAAGGGGTCTTCTTCGTAGAACCCTTCAAATCACCGTTCACTTCTTGGCCGTCCATATCAGAGGCGATCTCAGCGACAGTCTCGGCGACGGTCTCGGCGACAGTCTCGGCGATGGTCTCGGCGACAGCCGTCTTGTTCTCAGATTCCTGTAAATCCGGCATACTAACACTGTTTAGGTTAGAAACGTCGCGCGCCACTTTAGCGTTCCCGCCATTCACATTGGTTCCATCCATCCTGCGGTCCCCCCTCCCGCGGGACCAACACGCGACTCGTCTTTAGCCCTATCCTCGTTTATAGAGAAGAACGCTGGGAAAGGGAGTGGGAAGGAGGAAGAGAGAGAGAGAGAGAGAGAGAGAGAGAGAGAGAGAGAGAGAGAGAGAGAGAGGCAAAAAAGGAAGGGAGGGAGAAAGAGGGAAAAAGAGAGTGAGAGAGAAATAGATTGAAAGACAGAAAGAGAAAGAGAGACGACAAAGAAAGATCAAGCGAGAGAGCAAGAGAAAAAAGGGATACAACGAGAAAAAGGGCGGGAGGAACAATGGGGAAATAAAAAGATACAATGAATTCGATGTTTTTACCCCTTAGTAACGATCTTTCGAATAAAAAAACGTTTCGGAGATATAGAAAAAATGCAACGTAGACACAACCGTCTTACGCGTCTAGATAACGCGAACCCGCGCTCATCTGTCGCGGATGCGCATAACACGCGCGCACACACCGCCACTACGCGCTATTTACACGAATGCCAGGCCCCGTCTTCTCGACTTCTCGACCTCTTCTCGTTCATCACGTTTAAACGATTTTATCGTTTATCCAAACACTGTTTCTCACTTCATTCGAACTAATTTTTAACCTAGAAATCCGTAAGTCCAACTAATGATAACGACTTTCCGATGACGAAAAGGAAAATGAAAACTCTGGGGAGGTGCGGAGCGTCCGTAGAATGCAAAACCGGAAACGATACCGAAGAGTATACTCTTTGGGTGGTTTTCTATAGTAAACTGCTTCCTGTTGTTGACTGTTCAGTCATGTCCTAGCAACTGTCCAATCAGAATTCTGCTTTTCTATATATGCTTTCTCTCTTTGTTATATATATACATACTTTCTTATTATATAGTAAAATGTTTTATAATGATTAATTTTTTATACGCACGTGCAATGTAAGAAATGCAGTTGGTTAACTTTTTATACTTCTATTTAAATACAAATTGTTGCATTTTTATTTTTATCCTATCGTCTATGTAATTGGATCAGATTCTATCTTCTTCGTCATTGGCTGCAATACGAGACATTAACAACTTCTGCATAATTTCGTAAAATTAAATGCAAGCTTTTAAAACGAGCGTTCGTTCCATTGGTCAATATTATATATATATATATATATATATATATATATATATATTTTATATTTATGTATATATATATATATATACACACACACATTTTGGTCTTATTAATAAAAAAAACAAAAATTAAACAATTTATATACGATCATAGTAGTGCATACATATGTAATTACTATGAAAAATTCTTTTTTTTTTTCTTTTTAACTATTGCTAGCAATATTCTTGAATAGAAAAATAAATCAAGTAATAATTTGTCAAATTTTTCAATAAATCATCTAGAAATAGAAAAAACAAAATGTCTGCCAACATACCTGCATATATGTATGTATCTATTGAATTGACTCGACTATTGCGCCACACACCCACACGCGTTCATGCAACACACGAGAAACATACGGTCATTATCCCATTTCCCTCTGCAAGTTACGATATAACATAAGGTCTGTGCTAAACGACGTGGAGATAATAAGTCAAATAAAATCGACTCGTTTAATGTATTTCTCTTTTTTTTTTGTTTTCACTGTTACTCGACAGATAAATTGTTATATTACGATGACGTCCGTTTAAAGTTCAACTCACTACTTGTGAATAATATATACAAGGTGTGTAGCGTGAAAGTTTGTAATAATCAATTTGAATTACGTATCAGTGTAAAAATTACGAGTATGCTCGAATATATATATATATATATATATATATATATGTATGGTTGCAAAAAAGTTGAGAAATAACAATCATAATATATATAATATATATATATTAAGAAAAATACGTTATATTAATTGGCTTCTTTTGCTTTTTTGTAGTGTAAATAAATGGCATTAGTAAATAAAAATTTTTCTATATTTCGTAAAATGTAACACAATTATCAAACAAAATTTTCTCGACAGAATTGTATTTAATATTAAATTAAAGATAAAAAGAAATATATATATATATATATGTATGGTTGCAAAAAAATTGAGAAGTAACAATCATACGTAAATTTTTTTATTTTATTAAATGTTCAATTAGTTTCCAAATATTCGTGTTGTAACTTTCATATTTGTTTCATAGAATTAAACGCATCCTTCAAATGGAGCGTGTTCTAAAAGCAGTACCTGCAGACTTAAGAGTAAAAATGGAGGCACTTGTGCATGATCTGACCCTTGCCCTTGAAGAAAGCAGTAACAGTGCTAACGTCAGACGTAGATGGGGTATAAGGAGGAGAGCTCGTTCTACAGGGAATATTCGTAAGTGTAAGGACATATAAAACAATAGAAAGTAATCAAATTTTGAGAACAATAAGGATTATAAAAACAAAAGTTGAAGACATGGAATGCCACCCGATCTAATCATATGACATAACATCAGTTACAGTTCGCTTCTACAAGGCATACAGAGGGTCATTACCAAGATTGTCTTTCTATAAATATCAATGTACAAGAAGTTAAATTACAGTTCACATGTAATCTTTAAATAATAGTTTAGTAAAGATTAAAGATATAGCCACTTAATAAGAATTGCATTTTTTTCCAGCATCACTCAATATAAGTAAGCACTCGGATGACAGTTCATCTTCTATCTGTGATATCCGCATTTTGAAAAATTCTACACCTTCTAAATATCAATCCGACAGCGATGACACAAATCAAACAAAAAGATTTGCACGGTTTTCCAACCTAAATAATGTGAGCAACATAGAGAGTGATTCTGTCAATGAAAATTTCATACCAAGGACCAACACGAGACGTAAGAGAAAATTCAAAAAGATGGCCGTTGATTCTGATTCAAATCCATCAACATCTCAAACAGTTACTATTATGTCAACTACTTTAGGCGGAAAAAAGCGAGTTCTCAGGAATGATTGTAAAAATAAATATGGAGCCATATGGTAATATTTTGTGATTCCACGAAGTTCCAATTAATCCTAACCAAATTATTTATTAAATTTTATTATTTTTAGGTGTGGCAAACGTAAGAGATCATGCAGAGAACGTTCTACCGATTGTGAAATGCGTTCTTTGAAACCAAATAGAACCTCGAAATCAAAAATTCGAGGAAAGATACAAGGTGAAGATACTGTAGATTGCTCACGTATATCAAGTTCAAGTATTTCTTCTAGCGATTCCGAAAATGGTATAATCACAAATGACGAGGATCGTGAAGGTAAGTAAATCGTAAGAAGTGTGATAAATAATTATCATGTAAAAAAATATTATCGTAGTACTTAATTATCGTTTACTATATATACCTATCTTAGGAGATGACGAACAATCTGATTGGATAGTTGAATCAAATTGGTGGGACGATGGAGACAGCACAAGTGAAGACAAATTAGGAACAGATTCGACATTCCAAATGATATTACATGGTAGCTTTGAACATTCTACTGATGAAAGTAGAAAAAGATATAGACAAAGAGTTAAACGAATTCGTGAAGGTCTCACTGGTAGAGAAATTCGTGCTGGTCGTCGTCACGTCGACAATAAACCTGGATATTCCATAATTACTTCGGCAAATGAGAAAGTATCAAGATTTCTACAAGATCCAACTCAAAGTGAACTTAAATTACATCCTATGCGTCAAGCCGAACGGGAGAAGCTACGTCGTCTTGCAAATTTATACAGTTTAAGTTTAAAAGGTGATTTAGGTTGTCCAATATTATATAAAACACGACACACAACTCAAGCTGTATGCGTAGATCAAGTATCGTTAAACAGATTCTCCGATTACAAAAGATTAAGGAAGACACCTCCGAACTCTCCTAATCCTGATTCAATGATGCAATGTCAGGAACAACATATTTCTAGTACAAATTTTGGTTCACAAATTGTACAACAAACGCAAGATACCATGCCACTGCAGTCTATAAGTTTTCCACAGTTCGAGTGGGATTCTAACAATATGGAAATTGAGATACATGGAAAGCCAAAGTTTCAAGACTTTGGGCATTCAAAGTCGAGTTAAATTATGTGTTCTTTTTTATTAGTTTGTTTTTTAATATTTAAGTGGACGATTAACCTGCTTTCTATAAATAAGATTAGTATATATTCTAGAATTGATGTATTATACCGAACGTATTAGATTTTTGCGGACGGAACTCGTTCAAAAATTGACATTTTTATATAGGGTTTATTATTCTATTGTAGTCCAGCTTTGAAATGTCTATATGAATTTATATAAATGTATAAATTTGTACAAAATATGAAATAATTAATAAGTTAATTTGCCGCGTATAGAGTGAGTTTTATGATTCTAAATGTAAATAATAATTTGTACTTTTTTTTTATTAGTCTAGTAACAAAAAACCTTAAATCAAATGAAAATTAGAGTGTGCGAATCACTTATTAATACTACACATTATATGAATTTAAAAAGAACAACAATTAAAGAAGGCATTTTTTTTTTTATAACAATTAGGGAAACAATCATTGGATTGATTTCTTTGAATATTACAGCATTTGTTATACTGAATCAATGACACACGTTAAAACTTAAGTTAAAAAATGTATCTTACATTAAAAATCATATTTGAATAATTCAAGCATGACTGATTTTTTTAACATCAGGATGAATGCGTGTCTGTAATAATATAATAAAAACTTAATACATATTACTCATACTTTAAAATATCAAATTTATATCTATAATTTTCATGACATTTGATAACATATAAATGAAATGCAATATTTTAATATTTTAACTTCTCCTATAGTAGGGTTATATAATATTTCAATACGCTTTATAAATCGAACATACATTTTTTTCCAACATTAATTTCTTCCCAATTTTTTTTCAGCTGCTAATACATTTTCATTGGCAATCATTTGAAACTCTTGGAATCGTTGCGAGACTCTTTGATTCATTTTTAAATATTTTTCCATACAGTTAAGGGCACATTTTTCTTCCTTCGCTTTTACATCTCGTGTAGTGAAATCAGTAATACAGTCGATAAAACAAATCTCTGAGAGTTTGTTGTACGACATTATGAAGTCTTTAAACTGTAATTATACAAATATAAGCAATTATTTTTTTTAATACTAAAAAAAATAATTGTAAAAACGTAAAGATAATATCAATCTAAAAATAGATTTTTATATTCAATAAATACATACAGACTTGATTTCTTCTGTATTTACTTCAGTAGGAACTTGCATAGCCATATCGTTTAATTTATTTATTTATATATTTCTTAATCAAAGATTAATATTGACATAAGTAAATCCTAGGTTAGAATTTATTGTATACAAGTGGGCACATGCTCACATTACACAACACAAATCCATATCTAAAGCTTCTAATATTGCTTTAGTATTCATCATTAGAATAAACCAATCAGAATCCATTCCAACGCCATACCAAAAGCAGTAGCCAATCAAACTTCTCCATATTATAAGTTAGTTTCTATTATTTTCTATCTATAGCTTTCTCTGACACAATGGAATGAACCAATTAGGAATAGAAAGATCTCAGAAAAAGAGAAAAAGAAAAAATGTTTTATACTTTGCAGTGCTGTACTATACTATTTCTAAATTCGTGTTAAATATTATTCTAAGTTGTATAAAAGTGGAAAAAATGCTTCTTCGCAGAACAAAACAAGTTTATCTAAGCTGTCTAAGGTAATTTTATTAAAACTTTATCCTATTAAATATAAAGTATATATAAAAAATATAAGACAATAATAAAAAATCGTTATTTTTATTATTAAAACTTTTAATATTTTTTTTAATAAGACGAAACAATAGAACATATTAGTTCAAAGAGAAATATAAAATAAATTTTCAAAAATATAAAATTATATTATTCGAAATTCATATATACATATATCTTTTTTTTGTGTTTTTCTAAAGCATATATCTACGATAAATTGCTTTAACAACAGAAACGTATTAAGAACAGGTGATGAACGAATGTTCCCTTTCGAAACCCGATTATTCAACCGTTACAACCGTTACAAATTAAGACGAAAATGTCAGTTAGATATTTAAATTCTTTATTCGTACTTTTTATTTATATTGACGAAATTATAATTAAATCATGTAATTTGTTTAATAGAATATTGTTAATATTTTTGTCAAACTATTGTGACGAACGAATAATGAACACGCGCGTTTTTAATTGGAAACTTATTACAACGCCAGATGACGCCACCAAAAAGTGTTTTACCACTCGATTTCTACATTTATTGTAGAATTGGTGCCATTGGCGCCACGAACGATATTTATGTATGGGTCTTGACTAAACAAATTATAGGCTTTATTTATACAAGATGAAAGATTTAACTTTTATTAAAAATATATAAACTTAACAAGATTGTAAAAAAAACGTGGCTCGGTTTTATCTAGGCGTCTATTGGAAATATATTTTTTTGTTTCTTTCATTTCTTTTATTTATGATGACTCGTTGCGCCCTCTTCTTAACGCGTCGATAAAGTAGGAATTATCAATCCGCCACAGTTTCTAACTTTCTTAACTTATAACGACCTGCATTGACTAAATCTTTTTTTTTAATTCATTTAAAAATAATATCGATCTTCTTCAATTTTTTTTAACCAATAAATTTTGAATGTCTATATTCTAAGTGAAACGACGTATGTTTAAATATTTTTCAGTGAAATTAATCGAAAGTGTTAATCGTCATCTCAGAAGAAGTTTGAAAAGTGCAATCTTATTACGGAAAAAAGAGAACAAAAAAAAGATCAAGAAAAAATTTGAAAATGTCTTCTCTCAAAAAATTTGAAATGATGAAAAAAAGAGAAAATAAAATCTACGTTGAATCCACGAACAGCGAAAGTTATGAGGAACAAACCGATCCTATCACGACTCTACGTAAGGAAATTCAAGATTGGAGGAATCATAAAGAGTTTAACGATACGGACGTTTATACTACGAGCAACCAGAGAAATGAATTGCCTGAATCGCAGAATGAAAATATTTACTCAAACGACGAAGTAATGTAAGTAGAAAACATTTGTTTATTTTTGCTTGTTTTTCTCTTTCTTTTTTCCTTTTTTTTTTTTACTATTATTCCAAAGTTTGTATCATCTTTTTTTTTCTACGAAGAAAGATAATAATGCATATAATAAAATACGATTACACAAGTAACATTAAGTTGATTAATATATATATATATATATATATTAGAAGTATGGCCGCATTCGTGATACTTCTGAATAGAAAATATTTGATTTTTTTCTGTTCTTTTTTTCTTGTTTGTTTTCTTCAAAGTTTGTATCGTCTTTTTTTACCAAGAAAGATAATTCTTATAATAATTTATAATGTGTGCGATAAAATATGATTACACAAGCAACATTAAGCCTATTACTCTATATATATATATAGAGTAAGATATATATATATATAAATTTATATATATATATAAAGAGAGAGAGAGAGAGAGAGAGAGAGAGAGAGAGAGAGAGTAATATATATAGAGTAATATAATATATATACAGCAAGAAATATAACCGCATTCGGAGCACTTTTGAATAGAAAATATTTGAATATTTTCCTTTTTGTTCTTTTTTTTTGCTGTTTATTTTTATTTCAAAGTTGTGACATTTTTTTTCTATCTAGAGAAATAATTCGTATTGTAATTTATACTACGTAGGATAATAGATTACACAAATAGCATTGATCTATATAAAGCCGATTATTATGCACATACATGTCCTAAGAAGTATCGCCACGTTCGTTGCACTTTTAATACGTATCAATTTACAGAGACATATTTGCATTATAACACAAAATTTAGTGCAAATATAAAAAAAAATTTTTATCATATCGATTTTGTTGATGATATATTTTCGAAAAATATCGATTATTCTTTTTTGAAGAACGAACGATGCAAACGATGTCTCGAAAAGTGAAAGTTCCATTAATATGATTCTTGATACTTTTTTTTTATTATAAAATGCACCGACATATATACATATAACCTATTCATACATTATGCGTGCTAATAATACCTCTGATGATAATAACTATATAGTGTAATAATGATAATTTATTCGGGAAACGATTTATCATGACAAAGTTCGAACCTGATGTGATAACATCATAGTGCATTTATAGTGCACTTATAGCGGATTAATGGCGCATTTACAGTGTAGTTATTTTCTTCAAGATAAATTGAGGTAAGTATAAAAAATATATTAAGAATCAAATGAAGTATCTAATATACTTTTTTTTTATAATAATCAAATTTTGATCGAATAGGACAAATTAATCGATAGGATGGTATGATCTAACTTTCGAGGAAAAAAAATCGATCAAACTTATACGAGATAAAAAAGCGATTAAGAAAGAAACACGACCGTCCCGTTCGTCTTCGTTGGGTTAGGTATAAAACGTGCGAGAGAGAGAGGGAGAGGGAGAGAGAGAGAAAGAGAGAGAGAGAGAGAGAGAATTACTACGTCATTCCGGAATTTTCGAAAGTTTTGTCGAACCGGTTTCCAAGTGCCACATATACGGATACATAATTTCGTGTCGCGTTCCAGGCGTGCATCTACAATCTTCAAATCCTCGGTACTTAACACATATACTTATATTTCTTTTTATTTAATCGCGAATATTTATCGATTTCTAATCTAAGAATTTTAATCGACAAAAAAAAGAAAAAAAGAAAAAAAAAGAGAAAAAGAAAAAATATTACAAAATGTCTAAAATCAATTTTATTCTCATTATATTTTAATTTTATTCGATGTTTATCCTTGATACGTACAAGTTACGTATATAAAAATTTAGAGGCTAAGTAAATTTTTTTTTCTTTGTAGCTATCAAAAGCTCTCACCTTCGTTGGAGGAACATAACGAATAAAGCATGACAATGAGCTATGAAGTGTTGTAGGTTAGTGAGAGAACAATAGTCGCCCTAACCTGCTAATGGGCCACATGTGTATGCCGTACGCATTACATAGAGATACGTAAAAATATTTTCGGCGATGTATATGCGCCTTGAATAAAAATTAATCCTCCTGCTGGCATTGTTCGATTCGACTCTCGTTCCTGTCGTGACTAAATTTCATATCGGTTCCTCTTATCAGACGACCTCTCTTCTACTTCCACACCTCCCTCCCCTCTTCCTTTCATTCCCCCCCTCTCTCTACACACACACACACACACACACATTCATGAGATCGGCACGTGTTGCATTCTCTATCACGAGTGCTAATTCATGTATTATATCGTTTGAATTTGTTGATACTTTTATAAATATGCTCTAGTTAAAAATAAAGAAAGAAAAGGAAAAGAAAAACAAGCATACGTACAAACATATTTTTGTGTGAGAGTGCACTTGATCGATGACGATCTCGAGCATGATAAACGTATAAGAAGCCTTCAGCATGTTCAAGGTCTGCAGGGCATCGAAACGCCAAGCACCACATCCAACTCACTCGAGTAACGATGTAGGTTAGGTTCCCAGCGGTATATGTCGCAAAAATCAACATTCTCGCGAAGCCGGAGTTCGCAAAAAGTATATAAACCGGTTTGCCTCGTAAATGGCACATGAGCGTGTGAACGAGAGATAGAGATAGAGATAGATAGGTAGAGAGAGAGAGAGAAAGAGAGAGACATAGAAGTCAAGGAGTAGATATGTATATGTTTGTCTTTTATGTATTTTTAAACAATGTTTTTTTTTTAGTGTTCCATATGTGTGTATATAATTTTCATTAATTTATATATATATATATATATATATATATATATATATATATAATACGATGGAGATAATAAACATTCATGAAATTATCTCACAGTAGTATTAATTATTACACGAAACGATACGTTTATCGCATACAATCGGTATAATTTGAAAAGTACTCATTGATGGCGCTAAAATCGCCGTAATAACGTTTAAAATAGAAGTCATTAGAGATAAAAAAAGAGAGAGAAAGAGAGAGAGAGAAAGAGAGAGAGGGAACGAATAAAAATAAAAGGAAAGAAAAAAAATTCCCGACAACGCTGAAAATGATACCATAAGCATCGTCATCACGTTCACCGATATAATAATCGCATAACCGTGCACGTTTCATCGTCCTCGTCGTCTCGCGTTGTCCATGTTTTCGCATAATATTACACGGCAAGTAAACGCAACTGCCGTGCGCGCGCGTGACGTCACTTTCTGCGTCGGCAACGTCGGCGGAAACGTAAGTTTTGCGAAGAAACACGCAGTACCGACGGCTGCTCGCGTAATGGCTGCTTGACCAAGGTCAACGTTCTCTTCGTCAATCAGACGAAAATTTGTCACGTGCATCAAAGAGAGCTTGTAACATTTGTTTTTCTTCTTATATAGATAGATTTACATCGAATAATAACGAATGCATTTTATTCATATTTTTTTTTTAATTTTTCTTTTCTTTTTTTTTTTAATTATACCTTTAGAAATATTTTATAACAATGATATAAAAGTTATGTCGATCGATCGTCCCGTCAAAAAAATTGAACGTTTGCGAAAGAAATGGCGAAAGAAATTAAAGCAAAATAAAGAGGGAAGAACGAGAAAGAACGTGCTCATTCGAAAAGAGTAAACGATTGTTTCTTCTGTTTGATTTTTTTTACATAATAATCATCCCGTTCCCCGTCGTCCCTGTCGCGTAACGCTGACGTCAGTGGACTCAGACGTCGCGCCAGTCAACCGTCGACGACGAAGGAATTCCTTCTCTTTGCGAAGAAAGCGTGAAGCGCCGAGAGTAACCGGCTACGCCCGATCGAAAGACAGTCGCGCGATACGAGGAGATACGACACGACGCGACATAACGCGACGCGACACGACGGGACGCGAAAGGGTGTAGAGACATGCGACACGACGCGACGCGATGCCGTCTTATTGCGAGACGGCAACGCTGTACAACGTTCCTCTCTTTTCTAGGTTCAAGGGTACGGAACGGAGATCGTTTGTCTTCTTTTTCTTCTTCTTCTCCTTATTCTTTTTGTCTTCCTACGATCTATCTGCGTATATGTGTACATGTACATATATGTACGTATGTATATATATGTGTGGTATGTGTATGCATGTATGGTGTGTATGCGGTGTATGCATGGATGATGTATGGATATTGTATGTGTTAGATATATGCATGTATGCTTGTACGGATGTATATGTTATGTATGTATGTATATATATCCATGTATGTATGTATGATAGACGGAAAACAATCGGGGAGAGCCCGAGGAACATTGGGGTGCCGAGTCAGTCCGCTTTTATCCAACGGGAAACTTCTCGAACGTGCTTGCGCTTACGTGCATTCTTCCATTCCTTTTGTTATGTTGTTATTTTTGTTGTTTTTGTTGTTTTTGTTTGACTTTATTTTTCTTTCGTTTCTTTTTCTATTATCATATCACGTCACGAAACCGAAGCTTTTGAATTGGTTGAATACTGTCGATAAAGTAGATATAAGAAATGACGAAGCGCGAAATTTTAATTACGTTCAAATATATTGTCAATGTTTTCTTCTTTCGTTATAATTTCTTGATATTTTTTAGCACTTACTACATCGTTGTTTATACATGTAATATTACGTAGACGAGATTTTTAAAAAGGCAATAGATTGTTAGGTTTGGTGAAAAGTAAGAGGAGCAGAATTAAATAACATGATATTTGATGATCCGAATGATATGGTGTATATACATATATACATATATACATATATACATGTCTACTTAATACGTATATATTTTATCTAATTTGGCTTGGCAAAATAATGAGGTCTATCAAATGAAATATGACATAAGATTATATACATTTCAAATTTAGGAATGTGAGAGATTATAGTAGTTTTCTTAATATTACGTGCATATATATATATACATACACATACATATATATATCTATAGCAAGAAAGGCAAAGTAGAGGAAAATGCAAAAATCTATGTGAAACCCTAAGTAAATCGATTCCTTTGTCGAGTTGCACGTTATACATTGCGCATTCATAGTATAACATCTGCTTAATCGTACAATAGTCCCAGTAGAAAGAGAGAGAGAGAGGAAGAGAAAGAGAGAATACGTTCCGTTGGATCCTTTATTGCGTCTCAAAGAGCACGGAGCTCAGAACTGAAAAGGGATCCCTCCAAAATCTTTAAGACGGTACAAAACATCTGTCCCTTTCCCTTTTTCGTAGTCACATAGAGAAAGAGAAGAGATTTGCGTGTGACCCCTTGCCCCTTTTTTTATCGTAAAGAGAACTCAAAAGTAGGGTTTTATTGTGATCGTCAAGTAAAACAGGAAGCACGATGACTGACATCTGCTTTACGTCACGTACTATTTCTTAAGAAATCTAAAATTGCCATGACAGAATTATTTTTAAGATCATAAGTTCGAATGAGTTCTAAAGAACGAAACAAAATTGAAAGGAAAAAAGGGGAAAAAATTGAAAAACCATTCGTTCTTTTTTTTCAGTCCAATCGAACTAATTATACTATTCTATCATTATACTTATTATATCATTCGAATCGGGTGATTGATCGAATTAATTATTAACTAATATACATGTCTAAGAAATAAACATGTTTAATGGCATCGTCGTAAAAATTGTTTTTCAATCGTCTGATAAAAATAAAATATCATTATTTTATAATACTATGATGACAAATATAGGCGTTATGTATTAGTAAAAATAATATATTCTATATAATAATGGAAATATTCGACGCAACCCTGATCAATTTTGAATTAACAAAGGAAATCGTCAGCCTCTTTAGCTCAGTGGCAGAGCACTGGTCTCGTAAACCAGGGGTCGTGAGTTCAAACCTCACAGGAGGCAATCTTTTTTTTCTCTTCATTATTTCTTCTCGTTTTACTTCATTTGTTGGATAAATTACTATAAGTGAAATTACGATAAGTAAGTTTATCGCGATATTTTTTCCAATTTTTATCTACCGAATTTTCGAAAACCTTTTCTTCGTTTTGTTATTCGAAAAAATAAATTCCGAGTATGATAAATAATTTCAAAGAAATTATATAAATATATATAATGTGTCTAATTTTTAATTAAATAAATAAATATTTCTGGGAGTATTAAGTCAATAAGAGGAAATTGAATAGATAGAAATATAGGAATAATTAAAAGGTGCCTCTTGGATACATGGCAATCTCGAATTCTGTCTGCGCACTGGAGTCTACAAATGCGAGCCACGTAACGCGAACCCGTGCGTTCTCGATATTCAAGAGTTACACTCAGCGGCTGAGGCGGAGGCGGCGGTGGCGGTGGTGGCGGTGGCGGCAGCGCCGACGAGCAATTCTGTTTCCGTAAAATGTGTCTGCAAAGTGAAAAGGCTCGAGAAAGTAATAGCTCTGAATTTTCAAATACATATTCTTCTTTAAGCTAAACGTAAGTTGCGATTAGAAATTACAAAAAATTATGTGACATCAGCGTCAAAGTAAAAATAATTCACATTTATATCTATTTATATACGTATGTACATATGCACTATGCATTTTTATTTTGAAAGATGACGAATGATCGATGATATTTAACATAACCTCTAATGTACATACATACATACATACGCGTGCGCGCGCGCGCCTGAAGAAAAATTAACGTTTGAAAATCGAAAAGGAAAAGAAAAAAGAAAAAAGAAAAAAGGAAAAGTAATAAAAAAATAAAAAAAAATTAATAATAATAACAATAATAAGTACAAGAAAAAAAAGATATCCACGTAATTTCTCATTTGTTTGCGCTTTCCATGAAAAGCTTACGTCGCAGCCCAAGCTCGCGCTTCTGCAGAGCATACACGGACACGTACATACACACACACAGAGATAACGTGCAACATATATGTGTACACGTAGCGATAAAGACGCATTACGGTAGCGCGTAGTAGAAACGTGAGATGTATACCGTCGTTCTCATTCACGTCGAAGCATTCGCTGCACATTCTCTCACCGCTAGTATTCCAGTATTCCACGGCGTGCTCGGGCGCCCTCGGAACTACGGGGCTTACGTGACGTGCATCGCCATCGATGGGTCTTTTGAGAAAGGCGCCTTGCCTTCCTTCCACTCCACTTCATTCCACTGTACTCCACTCCACTCCACTCCACCGACTGTTAAATTTTCTACGATAACACAGAGACTTTCTATCTCTGATTTTGCCAATTCAAAAACAAAAGATATACTTTTTTCTTTTTATTTTTTATTTTACTTTTTATTTATTTTTTTTTTTTTTTCAACTAAAATTTCTACAATCTCGATCTTTCTTTTTTTCTTTTTTCTTTCTTGATTTTTTTTATCTATATAAGCGCATACATTGCAAATGATATAATATGAGATTTATGCTATATCCTTATACTACGTTATAGTATAGAGTCTGTGTGTATGCATATATATATGTAGTATAAAATGGGTCGAATATACTATATATATAGTACAAAATGGTACTATATATATACTATATATATATAGTACAAATATCAAATTTTCTTGAGTGGTTTTTCAAAATCAATTACTCGATATTACTAGACTTTTTAGGCTAATTCTTTATTTAATTTACAAACCTTTATTTATTAGAAACCTATGAAATATTGGCCTACTCTTTATATATGTATATCTATAATATAATATTATACTATAGCATAAGTATATTAAAACTATTTATTAATACTAATACTTATTATAACTATCTATTAATATAATTATATTATAATATATATATTATTAAAAATATAGTATAACAAGTATATATATATGTATAACGTATATTAATCAAACATTAACTTCGGAAAAAAATAAAAATCGTTTAAAGAGAGAAAGAGAGAAAGAGAGAGAGAGAGAGAGAGAGAGAGAGAGAGAGAGAGAGAGAGAGACCATAGAAAATTTTCAGTATTTTTAATCTTTGTAGAAGACAAGTTGTATACTTGTTCGTATCGCAAGATACGCGATAAAAGAGTCTTATCTGAAAGAGTAGAACGGTACGTCAGTGTCTTTCCCCTTCTACCGTATCCTTTGCCCATCTTCTTGCCTCCGACCCCTACCCCCACACCCGCCCTCTCGACCACTTTCCACACCGCGTTACGTTCCCGACGTCGCTTCATTCCCGGTCTTACTCTCCTGAGTCTTCATTCCCGACGATGATTGAGGGGAAAATTATCGCTATCGACACGCAAAGACAACGTGACTCTTTTTCGCTCTCTATCACTCGTTCGTTTGCTCGTTCGCTCACTCACTCTCACTATCTTTCGTTGTATTTCTCTCTCTTTCTCTTTCTTTCTTTCTTTCTTGCTCCTTTTCTCACTCCTAAGGAAGCAAACTCGATCAATACAAACGTTCTTCTTTTTTTCCCATATATATATATATGTATTTAAACGTTATGTATCGAATGAACAAGAAGTATTTACTTATTTACATATGTGTACATATATATATATATATATATATATATATATGTACTTTTCATGTTTTCTTCATTATATGTATTTAACGGGGGAAGATTCGGGATCGGGAGAAGGGACATCGAAAGATTAATATTTATATCTTCGTCTTATAGGTTAGAAAAGAGATATCTCTATGTATGGATATATCTACATATATGTATGTATAGTCAACGTAAAAGTCAAAAATAAGTACTTATTTTTTATATTTATTTCTAATGTATATTTACTTGGAAAATTATTTATATTAAAATATTACGTAATATTTTAATATGTAAGAGTATAAATTATGAATTCGTTTGCTAAGTATCTGTTTTTTTTCTATCTTTTTTAATCATTTTACGAAAGAATTCTTTGCAACTGACACAATAAGATAAGAAGCAACGAAATGTGCTTCGCCTTTGCGATTATCATATTATTGATAACGTTATCTATGTGTATATATATATATATATATATTATATGTAACGTTATATTTATATATATGTAAATTTTGTTATATTTGTAAAAATGTCTTGCAAAAAATCAACATGTTTGTTGTTTATTTGTTTTTTTCTTTCTTTGTTATTAAAAAATCCATCTTGGAATATGTGTGTGTGTGTGTGTGTGTATCGAATAATAATGGACGAATTAATCAAATTAATGAATAATAATAATATATAACGAATAATAATAGACGAATTAATTGAATTAATGAATAATAATAATAATAATAATTATAATAATGTATAACGAATAATAATAGACGAATTAATTGAATTAATGAATAATAATAATAATAATATGTAATAAATAATAATGGAAAAATTTTCGAAGATAAAAGTATAAAGAATAGAAAAAAAAATAAAGAGAAGAACACAAAAAAGAAACAGAAAGAAAATGTTTTTGGTCCGATACGATGGAGAAATGTCGTGTGATCTTTTACGAGATGACATAAATATTTATAGGACGGAGAGCAAAAGTTACGATTTCACTCACAAAATATTCACATTGGCCTCTGTCACCCCGTCAAAGCCGATAAAATATATGGATGGACACATACTGGAAGGAGGAATGGTGTGTATAAACCATATCGACGTAATATACGTGCGATATTCTATCAGCTGCATTGGTAAATAACATTTCAGCTTATGGCCGCATCTGTCGATGATAATACGTATAACCGTGCGTTTCCAAGTTCTCTTACCTCTTTATCGTAACTCCCATCTATCACCACCCCCAACTCCAATTCCATCTTAATCTCATCTCCTCTTACTTCCATTTTTACTGTAATGGATTCGGATTTTTATAATTGTTGCCTTTATTTTCGCGAACGAATTATAAAGAATCGAAACGCAATTACTAAATAAATACGTTTCATGGTACTTCATTTTTAAAAGGTAACGTAAGAAACAATATGGCGCGCATAAAAAAATATACGCATTTAAAAACGCACAAAAGATGACGATGACAACGACGACAACAACGACAACAAAGACAACAACGACGACAACAACAATGACAACAACGACAACAACGACAACGACACGACAACGACAACAACAACGACAACGACAACGACAACGACAACGACAACGACAACGACAACGACAACGACAACGACAACGACAACGACAACGACAACGACAACGACAACGACAACGACAACAACTACAACGACGATGACGATGACGATGACGATGACGATTCACCTTTTACAAGAGATGCAAAAGAAAAGAAAGAAGAAGAAGTTGACCTTGAATCCGCAGCCTTGCTCCGCTCGATGTGGGAAGAAAGAAAGAGTACGAACGAAATGATTTCGCAAATAGCATCGTTGCGAAGAGTACCACGAGAAATGTACTCTTCTTTAATGTGTATAAAAAGAAAAAAGGTAGGGAGACAGACGGGCAGAGAGAAAGAGAGAGTACAGTACTTTAGAGATTCTAATTCCTGGGTGATGTTTCTTCTTACCGTTAACTTTTTCTGATACATGAAAAGGTGTCAGCAAAACATGAAAAAAGTCAGGTTAAAAATAGAAACCTTTTGCAAATGATTGGTCATCTCTCTCTCTCTATCTATCTATCTATCTATCTATCTATCTATCTATCTATCTATCTATCTATCTATCTATTTATCTATCTATTTATTTCTGTCCATCTGTAACTGTTATTATATATTTCGTAAAAGGAAAAAAACAAAAACAAAAGAAGTTGTATAACGTCGCAAATAAACGCGCGATTAACGGCAGACGGACGGGCAGACGGATGGACGGACAGACGAACGGACGGACCCAAAGACCGGTACCTTTGTTTCGCTATATGTTGAGAGAAGGGGGGAGTAAGAGAGAGCCACTCATCCAGCAAGTGAGAAATGACAGCACAGGAAGAATGCATAATCGCGTCACGTTTTCATTATCCCATTCCTAACACGTGACTGCAAATACTTGTTTGTACTCATAACTCATGATGCATTCAGTCTAGTGCATACATGTGTTCTAGTACCACGTGTCTCTCTCTCTCTATCTCTCTCTCTCTCTTTCTCTCTCCCTCTTTCTCTCTCTCTCTCTCTCTCTCTCTCTCTCTTCTCTCTCTCTCTCTCTCTTCTCTCTCTCTCTCTTTGTGAAAAGGAAAAAAGAAAAACAATAACAAAACAGAAAAGGAAAGGAAAACAGACTTAAGAAATAAAAGAATTAGAAGAATGAATATATATTATTCGCGTTTGGTAAACACCTTTAAAGACAACGGAATAATTTCAAATATACGAATTTATTATCGGTCGTTCATGCTTTAGACTCATGATTCTTTCATCATTCCTCGAACTTCATTTATTATTAAAATCGAATATGCTCCGATATTCGAATATGTGAATATTCAATGAATTCTTATAAAATTGATTTGTCGAAAAAGTGGGCGTAATTCAAAGGATATATATACTTATTTATTTATTTATTTATTTATTTATTTATTTATTTATTTATACATATACATATACGTACAAAGTACAATGTGTATACATATACATATGTACTTTATATATATTGTATTTTTACTGTATGTACTGTATTTATTGCGTTATATTTATACATGACTTAAGTTTTTTTTATATAAAACGCGCGTATTACGCACAAAAATACCCATACACGCGCGCGCACGAGCGCACACAAGGAAAAGAAAAACGATAAAATATTTCACTATCATTGAGAGGATTAGTCATCGCTACTAACCCACATTTATGATATAGACCGCTTTTATAACGCTTCCTTGAGTAAAGGCACCCATCTGTTGAGGCACCTGACTCGATTCACCTGCCGCAGGTACGTCGTTACGTACACGAGCTGCCTGCCTGCCAGCTAGCCTACCTATGCCTGGCCGTCTGCTCGATAACCCGGCTGGTTTCGTCAGGTGCTTCTTCCTTTAATATCGCCCACTGTGCTTAAGAACAAAGAAAACCTTCGATGTCTCCTCTTAGAAGACTATGTTACGATACAGTAGAAAATTTTGTTAAAACATTTTTATTTTTAACCTCTTATTAAAATTGTCCATTAAAATCCAATCATCGTCTATTAAAATCCAATTTCAATCAATTCTACTGACGTTGCTTCTTTTTGATATTATTACTGCGATGTGGTAAATATAAAAAAAAAATATTCATATAAATACACCTCTTTCTTTAATCAATATTACGATCACAAAATACAGTTGGCAATAATCAAGATTACGGCATATATTGACGTATAAAAGTATACAAGTTATATCAAAGATATCGAATATATATATATATATACATATATATATATACATATATATATTCGATAACCCATGCTTTATTATTTTATATCATTGAATATAACCAATTAAAATTAACTGGACCGGAAAAAGTTTACAAAGTTATTCCCAACGTATCGTCTGGATGATCGTCGAGTCCCTGTGCAATTTCTCACTGTGCGCAGGAAAAACGTGCCTAAGATGTGTTGTTACATGAAGAAGAAGAAGTATAAGAAAAGTAAGAAAAAGAAGAATAAGAAAAGGAGACAGAGAGCGAGGACGGACTATATCGCTGTGCGGGTGAACGGAACGGGAATGAGAGAAAGAAAGATGGAGCGAGTCGTGTAGAAACGTCGTCCAATGGAGGAGGTACGTTTTTCGAATGAAGAGAGTAGGGAAAGAGAGAGAGAGAGAGAGAGAGAGAGAGAGAGAGAGAGAGAGAGGAGAGAGAGGGAGAAAGAGAGAGAGAGAGGGAGATAGAGAGAGAGATAGAGAGAGAGAGAGATGTGGTGAGTCGAGGGAGACGAAGTTTGCACGCGGCGCGGAACCAACCGGTCGTTGCGCGATTCGCAAATGGCGGGGAGAATGACAGTGGAAGAGTGGTGGATACATACGGAAAGAGAGAGGGGGAATAGCAGCCGGCCGAGCGTCGAACCAACGGCTACACGCGAGCGATGTCATTGTGCGTCGTCGAGTCGTCGTCGTCGTCGTCGTCGTCGAGCGTGTGCATCGTTGATGTGTGGATGGGATGGTTGCGTTCGACGAGGAGGTCAGGCGAGAGAGAGGGGGAAGGAGTGAGACTGTCGAGCCACGTTGCGTGCCTTTTCTCCTTCCCGCTACTCTCCGGTGTAGTCGCTCTTTCGAGCTTATAAGATGACGTCACGTTAGTCATGAGAAAAGCTGTAAGGGAGAGAGAAAAGGAGAGAAGGGGGGTAGGGAGAAAGAGACGAAGACAACGCGACGACGACAGAAAGAGCGATGAAGCGTAAAAAAGGAGGGTTTTGCAGAGCGTACCCTCTTTTCCCCCAGAGACAAACGAGGTGATACCTAACCAAAACGCCATGCAAAATGTTGATTTGGACCTGAAACCCAACAGGAACGCGAGAGCTGTCTTCGATTTTCCATCCTTCTCCCATCCTTTTCTTTCTCTCTCAAACTATATGCCGTTTGATGCCTTCTTTCCTTTGCGTTTGTTTATAAACATACCTGTAAACTCGGTCGAATATATGACAGCATAGTTGTAACATTCCTTCTTCCCTCCCCCGGTCAGCATCACGGATAAAGAAAAGAATGAAAGATAAGAAAAGAAGAGGGAAAGATAAGAAAGGAAAAGGACAGGACGATTGAAAAAGAACGTTATTGCCGTTTGTTATCGTTTCCTTTCGAAACGTTCTCTCGAAAGAAGATATGCAACAACGCAAGAAGCCACTATCTCAACGAGCGGCTGAGCGGCGAGCGGCGCAATGTCTGTTATATTACTTTCGTTTTCTCCCGATGCTACGTTTAACGACGCCATCTTGAATGATGGCGGCGAACCGCTGCGACGGCGGCGGCGATATGGTGGTAGTGAATTTTTCTGGCTGTCTCTCCTCGTGGTAAAAGTCAAAATGAGATTCGTGTATAAAGGTTTGTTTTAATAACACATACTCAAAGAACATAATTCAATTCAGGATAATGAGAGAATTGTCTATTATCGAGTAAAACTATTAATGTCTGCCTTTCTCTCTTTCCCCTCTCCTCAAACCTTTCGTTGTCGTCCTCGATACGTTGCATTGTCACGCCGTGACATCGCAGAGCGCATAACGTAAACGTAACGTATGTAACGTACGACACCGTGCCATTGTCGCGCGCCAATGTAACAACAGCTCGTATGATCGGACCGACAACGCGTCGCGTTTTTAGCCGTGACTGCTTACGGAGATCGACCGTCGTATTCGTGACGTCATCGTATTGTAGTTGCTAGTAGGTTGCCTACCGAATTAGGTCGACGTTGTCGAACGAGCGTTCGTTCGTTGTGCTTTTTACTACATAAATATATAACATATATATATATATATATATATATATATATATATTATACACGACATACGTACGTATTTACATACACATATACGTAGTTCACCAATGCGGATGATCAACGCGAACGATCGTACGATATAAAACTCTTTCAAAATCACTAACCTCAACTACGTTAATCTAATAGCCGTATGAAAAAAAAAAAAAAAAAAAAAAAAAAAAAAAAAAAAAAAAAAAAAAAAAAAAAAAAAAAGAATTAGTAATTTTCATCAAGCAGATGATCTTTGCGAAGTTCTATGTTGATCAAACGAAAAGGCGAAAGGCGTGGGTCGTAGAAAGAAACAGGAAGAGAACGTACGCTCTACTTGGCTCGATAGTCATCGGTGCTTTCGCAACGAATAACGAATGCAAAAGAAAAAAAAAGAAAAACAAAAAAAAGAAAGATTTTAAATCGGACGAATCGAATTAACGGACAGAAATTGATGATGATGATGATGATGATGATGATGAGAATAATAATAATAATAATAATAATAATAATAATAATAATAATAATAATAATAATAATAGTAATAATAGTAATAACAACAATAATAATAATAATATCTTTCGCGCTTTTTCTCCTCGCGTTTGTCGCTAGCCGTTCGTACCGACAATACGAGGCCAAGGACAAGAGCAAAGGGGGACAGGGTTGATACTCGAAACGGAAATCTCATTAGCAACGTTACATCTAACGATCCGACTTTGCATTCGTGCTAGAAAAGCATGATATATATATATATATATATATATATATGTGAGATTCAGAATGAGAGAAAGAGAGAGAGAGAGAGAGAAGAGAGAAGGAAGAGTCGTCGGGATGGTATTCGAGCGATAGGTACAAGAACCTCGGCGGGAATAACCTAACGCAACCCCAGGTCAATATCGCGTCGAGATCCTTGAAGCAGCGGCGACGTTTTCGACGGTGATAGTAGCACGAGTCGTCGCGGTTCTACCAGAAGGTTAGTAGTGAACGACCGGATTGATTTTCTCCGGCCGGCTTGCACCGTGACGTGACGGAACGGTATTATCTCTCCCTCCACCCGCCACACCCTCCTGCGCCACCGCTACTACCACCTCCATCACTACTACCATCGTCGTCGTCACCACTACACACCACTACTACCACTACCACTACCACCACCACCACCCAATACGCGGAGTCTCCTGAGGCGCTTTTCCATGAGAACCGAACGAACACAAGGGTAGACTGCTGCTGCTGCTGTGCTATTGCCGTTGCCGCTGCTTCTGCTTCTTTGCCATCGTCTCTATCCACATCTCTCTTCTCCTTCTTACTTGTTTCTACTACACTCTACGACATTGCTTGTGGTTCGTCATCGCTTCGAACGTCGGAGGAAGGAGAGGGAGGAAGGAGAGGGAGAAAAGAGAGAGAAAAAGAGAGAGAGAGAGAGAGAGAGAGAGAGAGGAGTAGAGTAGAGTAGTAAATCGATACCGTCAACTGAATCACGGCATTACGTATCTTTTCCTTTCTCTCTCTCTCTCTATATATATTATATATATATATCATATATATGTATGTATGTATACATCTCTTTTTATCTATCTACATAGAAATAAATATCTCTACGAAAGATTCAACAGCAAAGTTCGATTTTAACGGAAATCGTTGACGAACTATAGACCAACGACGCGACGACGACGACCTAGGAACGACGCAATCCAGAAGTTTCGTACTATCAGGCAACGCTGCTTGTACTTCTATCGCTACGTTGCCACGTTTTGCGCCGGTGACGTCACGAGACGCACTAAGAATCATGCGAGAGTATGTAAGGACAGCCGGTGGCGGCTTGCCTGAAGTACGACTTGACTTCATACTATATACATTCATACTGTATATACATTCATACGTTGAAGCTCGATTCTATACGCTTGTATGAAAAACAAAACAAAAGAAAGAAAACAAGAAAAAAAAAAATAAAAAGAAAAAAGGAGGTAAAACGATGCTCTCTCTTCGGGTTAAGCTCGATCCTAACCGATTAAAATCTTTATCTGTGTTATCTTATGTTACTCCACTCTCTTTTTTTTTCTTTTAATCGTGTTTCTTTGTTTCTTTTTTTCTTTCTTTGTTTTTCTTTTCACTCTATCTCGAATCGCGTCGTATCTGTTACACGGAGTTACGTCACACAAGACGAGATAACACCGATGTTTGTTTCCTGCATAATACTTGCAACGGCATTTTAGATTTCTATGTCATTTATCTTCGTGTTTTTCGTTAATATTATTGAAAAAAGAAAAAAAAAGAGAAAAAATGGGATGGGATGATCTTTCATACTCTCTCTCTCTCTCTTTCTCTCTCGATTAAATCGATCACCCAAACAAACTTTACGAACAACGAGTTATTCATTTTCGTCGTTCGTCTGGCGATTAGTCCGTCTCGACGAAACCGGAAGGAATTCATTCCGTGAGATGCATTTACGTTGATAAAAAAGGATGAAAAAAAAATAGGAAAAAAAATATAAGAGAAAAGAAAAAAAGAAAAAAACAGCAGCCCATCGTTGGTCTGCCCCTATGCGAAATGTAGTGACCCAGTGACACGCAATGGGAAACGTGCTATATACATACGTACGTACATATATACATATTGTATACACACACATATATATAGTGCCTTCTATAGGAGTTAACTTACTCTACGACGGGACACGGTTCGACAAGTAGCTTCTGTTGTTTCCTGCAACTAAACTCGTCGACTCGGGTGATAGCGAGGGAGAATGGGAAAGGTGAAGCAGGATGGGGTGGGTTGGGTTGGTTGGTGGTTGGTACAATTCATATAAGCATATTGGTATATGCATATTCGCAAAATTCATAATATTATTACACGTCATCATTTCACCATATTAAAAAAAAATGGGAGAAGTAATGTTACTTTTTGATACTACGCGTAACAGGTTGGTTCATCGGACATTTTCAAGAGAAAGATGAAAAGAAAGAAATAGCGAAATAGAATAGGGTGGTAAAGATGGGTTGATAAAAAATGGTGGTTGGTAAAGTTGTAAAGAGTGGAAAAGGGTAGGTAAAAGTAAAAGCGTAAAATGACGATAAGAATTTTCTAGGGAAGGGAGAAGAAAGAATGCATGAGAGGTGCGGGGCGTGGGGGTGGATTGTATGAAACTAGAGACTATCAGGAATCTCTCTCTCTTTTTCTCTCTCGATAGAGAAAAGGCAAGAAAATTGTGTTGGCACGTTGATTCGCGTTTAAAATCGGTTCTGCCACTGTTGTTTCCTCCTCTCAAAGCGAATCCAATATCTCGCACGTGCTCGAGTTATCCAGAGGTCAAACCAAAATTATCGATCGGTTCGACGGGCAACCGTGTGTATTTGTGTATATGTATATGTATATACATAAGTACGTACGGCTTTTATACGGTTCGAAACGCGATTTCGACGTTGATTCAGCCTTCGGCCTCTCTCGTTTATCACAACTCGTTTCGAGTCTTCTGAAGATAAGCGTCCCTGTGCGATTAAGTTATACTCTTTCTTGCTAACTCTTGCGATAACCATGAAAATGGACTATGTAAGAAGCGCGAGTAGTAGCTCCCTAGATCTCTCTTTCTCTTTCTCTCTCTCTCTCTTCCTCTCCTTTCTTTAGTTGCGATCTTCGCTTTTAGCAGCTCTAATATTATGATAAATAAAACCGCGTGTACATACATATACGTATGTCGTTCTCTGTGTTAATATGTGCGTGTGTGTAAGGCACGAGAGGATAAAAACACATGTCGACGTCGAACGATCCTTCGTTTATTTACGTCGTCACGAAACGAGTAAGAAAGAGGTAGGGGGAGGGATGAGGTAGCAGCAATGGTTCGAGAGAAGGGTCAGAGGGGGACAGGAAGAGAGGCGTTCGAGAGGGATATTATCGGCCTCCTTCTCCTCTTCCTTCTCCTTCTCCTTCTCCTCTTCCACTTCTTTTTCTTCTCTTCGATTCTAAACAGTATACAGCTGCCAGCAAAGTTTCTTCCTTACGCGCGATACCGTATCGCTGCGAACGAGAGAGAGCGGCGGTAATAGCAATAGCACGTCTTCGACGAAGAAATTTTCATATATTGCTAACTTGTTCTACGTTATGATGTCACATACAGAGGGTGATGTCATTCAAAACGAACCGATGACGGACATTTATACATATTTCGTGGAATATTCCTTCCGGAAAGGATCTTTTATATACTTGAGAGAGAGAGAGAGAGAGAGAGAGAGAGAGAGAGAGAGCGAGAGAGAGAGAGAGAGAGAGAGAGAGAGAAGAAAGAGAGAGAGAGACATTCAATTTGTATATGTATATATTATTTGTATGATATATATGATATATATGATATGTACATATATATGTATATATATATGTATATATGTGTGTGTATTGTGACAAAAAAAAAAAAAAAATGCGCAATTGCATAATTTCGAGAATTCTCAACTCATAAGGTTTGCAATAGCATAGAAAATGATAACGCGTGGTCTGATGAATGCATTCTATCACAACGGAGTTCCAATCTCCATTGATCGTTATCTATCCCGTTCTTCTTATCGACGAAGGAAAAAAAAAGCAAATAAACGATCGCGCCACTCGTGAATGTAATCGGAATGATGAAACTAATCAGTGTTGTTTAAAACAGAGAAAAAGAGAAAGAGAATAAGAATGAGAGATTATCTCAAGGAAAAATAAATATATAAAGTTTCGTTCGTTCGTGTCTATTAGCTGGATGAATCAACGTATATTACGTTTTACAAGTTAACAGAATATTATATATATTTACAAATTTATTTATTACAATCCAAAAGAATAAATGAAGCAGAGAGAGAGAAAGAGAGAGAGAGAGAGAAAGAGAAAGTCGTCAAAGACTCAAAGGAAAAAGCAATAATCGATGGATTTTAGAAGTTTTTCTCGAGCGTGTAAAAGACCTCTTCTATCGAAAAGAAGTCTGGTGAGGAAATGCGCATGCGCATTATTGTATATCGCGTCGTTTCTTGTAACCCCTCTTTCTATCTCTCTGTATCTCTTTCTCTCTACATTATCAACAGCAGCAATAAGCATAGCACGGCGCAGGATAGCATAGCATAGCATAGCATAGCATAGCATAGCATAGCATAGCATAGCATAGCATAGCATAGCATAGCATAGCATAGCATAGCATAGCATAGCATAGCATAGCATAGCATAGCATAGCATAGCATAGCATAGCATAGCATCGCATCGCATCGCATCGCATCGCATCGCATCACATCGTATCGCATCGCATCGCATCGCATCGCATCGCATCCTTCGTATCCCGGTCGTGTGTGGTGCCGGCTACGTGTCAGCCTAGGGCGCTTGCTGGCGCGCCTGCGCCTCTTTGCGATTATGACGTCACAGAATGTGACGCCATAGCGCCCGATTGGCGGAGAGCGCGTCGTACTCGCGTAGCGTCGCGTTTTGCGTCGTGTCGTGTCTCATCGCGTCCGTCTCGTCTCGTTTCGTTGCGTCGTCGTGTCGTCGTCGTCGAGTCGTGGACCGGTCCGACGAGGTGGGTCGCCGGTTAAGCGCGAACGTTCCACGAGTTTAACAAGGAGAAGAGGGGAGCCGCGCGCATGCTCAAGGGAACGAACTGAGGAGAACAGAGAAGAAAAGAGAAGACTGGTGGAGTGGAGGAAGGGGAGGGGATGAGGCGAGCAGGGGTTAGAAACGGTGAAAAGAATCGCTAGCGCGATTCGCAAACGGACTCACTCTCTCGTGTAGCTGCGCGCGTCGAGTGAGCGAAAGAAGAGGATAGTAGTGGCGACGACGACGGCGACGGCGGTAACTGTGCGCCGGCGGCAGCGGTGGTAGTGGGGGAGGTGACAGTGGCAGTAGTGAGGAGTAGGAGAAGAGGAAGACAGAGAGCGTGCGCAGCGCACGACAGCGTCGACGACGCGTGGTGGTAGGGGTGACGAAGGGAGCGGGGATTGTTCGGAGGAAGCGACACCCGTAGCTCCGCTTTACCGCCGCATTCTCGAGCGTTCGTCTCCGTTCGTCTCGTCGTCGTTGTCGGCGTGTAGTAGCACCAGCGGCAGAAGCAGAAGCACTAGGAGTACCACTACTACACCACCAGATCAGTAGGAGTAGTAGTAGTAGTAGTGCCAAGTATACAGAAGCACTAGGCAACACAGCAATCGGTGTGCGACGCGGTCTACGCACGTACTATCCGCCCGCGCCCGCGCGCGCGCGCTCGCTCGGTCGCTCTGTTCGCAAACTCGTGTTATAACCACGTATTGCTGCTCTCCGTTGGTCTGTGTTTTCATTGTTCTTTCTTCCCTCCTCTTCGCACGTTCCTTTTGCTATTTTTTTTTTTGTTTGTTTTTTCTCTTTTTTCCCTAGTGAAAGATCACTTTTTCTTCTGCTTCGCGAGTTCGTCATCGTCATCGTCGTCATTATTTCCTCTCTCTCTCTCTCTCTCTCTCTCTCTCTCTTATTCCGCCATTAATTTTTGGCGGTTTGTGTTCGTGAAAGAGAGATAGACAAAAAAGAAAATAACTTCCCCCACCCTGTCTTTACTGGTTTTGATAGTAATTTTTTTTCTTACTTACTCTCGACAATCGGGCAGTATCCGTCGCGTTCTTCGTGCCACCGATTCTCCACAACGGCTAGTGATCCACGCTCGAAAGGAGAAGAGAACAAAGAGAGCAGCCAGGAGAAAAGGAAAGAGAAAAAGAGAGAGAGAGAGAGAGAGGAGAGAGATCGAGCCGTTTGGAGTGGGAGGGAGAGAGATCGAAGTGACGTTTCCGTGGGAGTTCCTTCTCGAACAGAGGTGGAATCCTTTCGCGAGTGCGTAGTGTGCGCGTAAAGAGGGTTCTTCGTGTTCGCTGCTCCCTTCTAACGTATAGAACGGGTCATGCTCTAGATACGGTTTTATGTGAGTTACTTACTTAACGTGTTAAATAAGAAAATTGTATCCGACCAGAGTTCGTCGAAGACTTGAGGAAAATCTAGTAAGATTTGTATTATAACAGGACAGAGAAACAGAGGAAGAGAGAGATAAAGAGAGAAAGAAATAAAGAAAGAAAGAGAAAGAAAGAAAGAAAGAAAGAAAGAAGGAAGGAGCGAGAGAAAGAGAGAGATAAAGAAAAAAAGAGAAGAGAAGAGAAAAAGACGGAGGAGTGAAAAGGAAAGCGAAAAGTGGATGTGAGTAGTGATAGGAAAAATAAAAGGAGGGAGAGGAGTGTCTGTGTGCGTGTGTTGTCTGTCTCTCTCTCGCTCGCTCGCTTGCTCGGTTGCTCGTTGTGGCACGAGTTTTCGATATCACCGGTTATATCGAAAAGTCGTCAAAATGATGGGAAAGAGAACGCAGTGTTACTTGTGCGACCTACCCAGAATGCCCTGGGCAATGATCATGGACTTTTCCGAGCCGGTATGCCGTGGATGCGTTAATTACGAGGGAGCCGACAGAATAGATTTAGTATTGGAATCGGCAAAACAATTGAAAAAGGCTCATGGTTTTCAAGATGCCAGGCCGTCCGCGTCTAAGGGTTACAGATCGGCCGGTCATACGGAACACAATGGTGGGCCGAATTTGGACGTTCTATCGATACAGAACGCCGGTCAGACACACTCGAGGCATCACAATATTGCCGCAAGTTACTCCCAGTTGCATCATAGGAACTCTATAACGGAATTCAATTCCGGTAATACTAGACAACAAATATCAAGACAACACGAGGACGGTCATGATCTCGGTAATGGATTGAGAGGGAACAACGTTAGAATTCCTAACGCCCACCTTGCCGCTGTCGCCCATCACGTGAGCCTAGGTCATAACAGAGGTATGTCGCAATTGAAGCGTGGCATATCGGCGATAGATGAGGACGAACACACGGAAAAAAGGTTATCGTTGGAGGATCAACATCCGGTAAGGCCGCCTCTAACGAGGGGCGACTCTTTGCCCGCCGTCAGTTTGGCCGTTAGCTACGTTCACGATAGAAACAAGGAGAAACACCCTGTTAGGGCGCCGAGCTTCGAAACCGCGACCACGTTCAAGGCCAATGGTGAGTCTCCCTGTCAACGTCCTCGCGCCTATCCTCTCTCTCTCTCTCTCTCTCTCTCTCTCTCTCTCTCTCTCTCTCTCTCTCTCTCTCTCTCCTCTCTCTCTCTCTCTCTCTCTCTCTCTCTCTCTCTCTCTCTCTCTCTCCTCACCAATCTTCCCCCATCCATACTTAGATAGCTAACTAAATACTATCTACTATTATTACTACTATTGTTACTACTATTATTACTACTACTCCACTACTACAACTATTACGATTACTATTACTCTCTTTCTTATTACAATCTTTTGTTCGTACTTTACGACCATTACTTTTTTCTCTCGTTCATCTTGGTATCTTCCTCGCTCCCTTTTTGAAATTTCCTGCCCAACTTTCCACCCACCTCAGTCGCGCTATCTTACTTCCAAATGCTTCTTTAATGACGTATTATAGAAATCTTATCAAGACCGACGATTCTATTTTTAGAATTTTATGGTATATATATATATATATATATATATATATATATATATATGTGGTGTGTGTATGTATATGTATGTATATATGTATGTAATATACCTGGGGCCTCTCGACATGGCCATATGCTACGTAGAAGAAAGAGAGAAATAATAACTACATATAACGCAAGTATGTCGAGAGACACGCGTGTGCTGCTGCTGCTGCTGCTGCTAGAGGAGAGAATTCTCAGAGGAATCGTTCTAAAAGTCCCTTGTGTGCGTGCGTGCTCTCTCTTTCTTTCGTATTTATTACTCCTTACTCCTTCTTTAATTTCATTTCCCTCTTCCCTCTCTTTCATCGGAACTCTTAACCATCTTCGTGTTCATGTATCGTCGTCCTTTGTCGTTGTCTTCTTCATCGTCATCATCATCTACAATCATCATCTTTAACAATCTTCATTTCAATTGTTGTCTTAGTTGTCTTCGTCTTCGTTTCGTCTTCATCGCTTCGTAGTGTTGTACATAAGCGGCAGTCGTCCAAACGCGTATAAAAGAGGCGTACGTCGAGCACGTGATAGGACGACCGTAAAAGATACACCGAGTATTCTCTTTCTCTTTCTGTCTTTCTCTCTCTTTCTCACTTCATGTTGTGACGTCCAATAGGGTGACGTCACGATGTATATTTAGAACCAATGAATGAGACCGGTGTCTCGCTCGATATACGAATCTTTTTGGCCACGGAATATATTATGTATACATACATACACTTACACACACACACACACACACACACACACACACACACACGACAGATTGCGTGAACGAAACGACAACCCTTCGACGCCGATATATCGAATCAACTTTTATCAGGTTGCAACTTTATTATCTTTATCAGTTCGTAATCGCCCGCTCAATTCATCAAGGATTTCAAGATTACTCTGTTTTTGTCTCTTGTGTCTTACGATAATGTTATAATAATTTTTAATGATGTCAAATAATTTCTTTTTTTTTCTCTCTCTCTCTCTTTTAACCAGTGGTACGGAAATGAATTTTTTTGTTTTGTTAAAAAAAGTTTTTCCAATTATTTCTTTGTTTTCTTTTTTCTTTCTTATCTTTCTCAATATCGAAAAACAATAAAATTCTGATAAATAATATATCGAATAGAGAAAGAGGGGGGAAATGCATTTTTGGCACCCAGAGTCAACATTTTTCGAACACAATATTTCGTGCTTAGCGATGATGGAAAGTACATTTGACGGCAATACGTGTAGGGGTAGTAAGTAGAGTTGTGTGGTAGTAGAGGACGCGCCAGAAACAGCTCCACATTTTTCTCTCTCTCTCTCTCTCTTTCTCTCTTCTCTCTCTCTCTCTCTCTCTCTCTCTCTCTCTCTCTCTCTCTCTCTCTCTCTCTCTCTCTCTCTCTCTCTCTCTCTCTCTCTCTCTCTCTCGTATACCCTGATATTTTGCCGGTCTCCTCCTGAGTTGGGATAACTGTAATGCGGCCTCCTTTTCTTGCGCTCGTTTCGTAGTGCGTCCAGCGGAGTCGAAACAAACCGAGTATAGCCGAACAAAACCGAAACAGGCCGTAGTAATCGCGGAGGGAGCCTCGGACTCATTGACGCGCGCGCGAAAGCAAAGAAAAAACGGTGCTTCGTTCCCTTCCTGTGGACCGAAAATTTAACAACCTTGTACTTAGTCTCACTTCCGGCTAGTATGCAATCTGCTTTCACAAAAAAAAAAAGATAAATAAAATAAAATGGGAAAAGAGGAAAAGAATTCTTTTTCTTTTTAAAATTAATTCTTGAAAATTAGTAATACAATTATTATTATTATTATTATTATTATTTATTATTATTATTATTATTATTATTATTGTTATTATTATTTTTACTTTTTTCCTTTTTTATTTGGAAGATATTTTGACATTTGGCAATCAGAAGGACAATTTGAGAGCTATGACTTTTAGAAAAGTTTGACTTATAAAAAGTTATCGGTGTGTGTGTTTATGTGTGATATAGATTATTACATATAATATGTAAATATAATGAATATATATTATATGTAGTTTTAAATATATGTAAAGGAGAGGAAGTTCCGTTATATAGCTCATAATCGACCTTTCTCTCTGTTAGTGCCTTTTAAAATCGTATATATATCCTTGTGACACAATACTACCCACATTAGTGTTAGCATGAAAATACTTTGATCCCTTTAACTTCTTTCTTCTAAATGTCACAGATTATACACGTTTGAAGGGAACTAACGGTTAATGCCTTTATCTCGATCCACAAACATTCTTATTTACTATTCGGAAATTATAGTTTCTAGTTCGAAGGATAGAATTTGTATCTACGTATGCACATACATACATACATACATACATACATACATACATACATATATACATATATACATACATGAATACACGTCCTATCGATTAAAATAGATCACCAGCTGGCGAAGATCGTGATCTGGAAATAAACATGGAACGTGAGAGTATCTTTAAGTTCGAAAAGATTTTCTCTCTCTTTCTCTGACAATACAGACACGTATATTAGTATATTGCATTGTTTAAAGTCGAATAAAACATTTCTGCCTAATTAATACTTAATACCAATATCTGAGATAAATAAAATATATATATATATATATTAATCGTTCAACATTTTAATATTTTAAAAAGCTTATTAGATCGATCGTAATACACACAGATACGCACACACACATATTAAATAAAAATGAAAATAAAAATAAAAAAAGAGCTAGGGAGAAAGAGAGAAGAGGTTGAGAGACACTTAACGATGTTGCTCCTCGTGCCCTCTACGTCATCATGGTTGGGACGTTGTAAGCAGTTGCGTGCGTGCGTGCGTGCGTGCGTGCATGCATGCATGCATGCATGCATGAGTGCGTGCGTGCGTCCGTGCGTCCGTGCGTCCGTGCGTGCGTGGCAAGAGCAGCCAGAGCAGCAGGAGCGTACGATTAGAGTGAAGGAGGTGGGGCGAATTGGGGGAAGAGGTGCAGTCGTACGTCCCTTCACGTCCCGTGGTGGGAATGTACTTTCGAAACAAGGCCGCTACTACACCACCGATAATCCGTTCATTCGTTCGAATATCGCCGGCGATGACTGCGTCGACGTCGACAACGACGACGACAAGTAGGATAACGAGAACGGCAACTAGGAGTAGGAGTAAGGGAGG